TATTTCAAGTTATCATAACATTTCTTTAAATTATAGATGATATAATTATAAAACCTTAGAATGAGAAACTACATAAGGCAGCTACGCAACCAGAATGTCGGATGATGAATTCAGCAAAGGAAAATTATTCTAGAAAATAAACTTTTCACAGTCAATAAGCTATTAGCAAAACATTGATGTGATGGTGATTTGAAAAGCAAAGATTACAGAAAGATGTCCCAAAGAAACCCTTCATTATAAAATTTAGTTGGCAAATCTATAAAGTAAAGCAACTAATTGTGCTTAGGTTTGTTATCAAGAAAATCAATTCAATAATGTCTAATATCATTAATGTGTGCTCGTGTGTCGATAAATTAATCAATTACTCATCAAATATACCTCTGAAATGATTTAGTTTTACTATTTGGATAGTAGAACTGTTGAGTTTCAATTATGAATTTGAATTGTTTATCAAACATGCAATGCAACAGGACACACATATCCGCTACTTTGCTGGCATAGCAACATAATTTCCCTTGACTATAACCTCTAGAAAACTGCATATAAATAAATCTTAGTACAAAGGAAGGTGAAGAACCAAAGACCCACATAGCCAACAAAAGCACAGTTAAGCTTATTTTAGTTGTTAAAATGTATTAGAAAAACAAAATATGCTGATATTAAATTAGCATGATGATGTAATTAAGATGTAGGCGGAGTAGTATGGAGTCGCCAAAACGGAAGCAACTCAAGCAAGAAATAGGAAAACAAAATCAGATTTTTTCAACATGCAAAATAGGAAAAATGGAAGCAAGAAATATAATTGGAGTAGAATGGAGTTACCAAAAAAAATTTTTACCTTCAAAACGATGAAGGCGGCTGCAAAATGGGAAGAGAGGGCTGGGTGGAGCCGGAGACCTCTTCACGAAGAAGCTTAGAGGAGAAGATGGAGTCGACTGCGACTGTGAACGAGAGTGCTCGGCCTGCGGCTCGTCCGGCAACCTCTTCATGAAGGCGGCTGCAAATGAAGAGAGGCGACACGAAAAGAAAATGCGAACAACGGAACAAGAGACGGCGGGGTTGGGAGGCATATTTCAAAAACTGGCCATCTGCTTCAAATTTTCTTAGGGTGGGCATTTAATTGTACGTGGGTCCGCCCATGCCCGTAGTAATAACAACTTCTTCAAATTTGGTGAAAAAGAGCCTACTCCAAATTATTTTAACCGAACATAATCCCATGGTTTCTGATATGTTATCAAAAAGTATCTTGATCGGACTTGAATCTCGATGCAAAATCAAGCTGGAAGCTTATAAAATTAAAATTGAGACCATATAAACTCTGATTTTAGCAAACTTATAGTCGAACTTAACGTCTTGAAAATACAAACCCAACGACATCAAATTCGGCTCAATCTGAGCCCAAATGGGTCCAAATCGAAGACCCGAAGCACATTTTAAAAGTTCAAGTCATAAATAGGGTGATCAAACGATTTCTAAACATGACATGCTTATAGTTGAATTTAGTGGCACAACGAGACAAATCCAACGATCCTAAGATCGATTAATTCTGATATCATTAAGGCATTTAAATGCCGAGTAAATGATCCACGATCAAGGGGATCAACATCGGTCGTCCATTCAAACCACTACCGACTATCGCAAGACTTACTTCCGGCCACCAATTATCATCATACTTCTCCATGACAACTGTCCTCCATTGTCATACAACAATCTTTCTGGCCACCGTCGCCCACTGACTACGGTTCCGACCTCCGTCGGTAGACTATGATTCTTCCAACCTCCTTTGTCAGACAATGATTTTTCTTACCATAGTCGCTCGCCGGCTACTGTCCTTCCAACCTCTAACGCTATAATACAATTCTTTTAATTATGACCTCCTTTGTCATACAACAATATTTCTGACCACTATCACCCACCGACTTTCTGACAACTGTCACTCACCAACTATGATTCTTCCGACCTCCATCGTCGGACATCAGTCTTTCCGCCCTTTGCCGCCATAAAACGGTCCTTATGACCACTGTCTCCTTTCGACTACCATCCTTCTGACCTCCTTCGCTAGACAATTGTCCTTATGACCACTGTCCATCGCTGACTACGGTCCTTCCGACCTCCGTCGCCAGACTATGACCCTTATGACATTCGTTTACAGAGAATGATCTTTCCGACCTCCATCACCCGCCGACTACTATCCTTTTGACCTCCGCCGCCCGCCGACTATGATCTTACCGACCAAACAAACATGTCAATATTGATTCTTTCAATTCCCAATACTCAATACAAGCTATATGATGTATATTTGCTACATCAAGCCAATGCCTTCCCCCCAATGAATGACCTCATTTGTAATTGACTACAAACAATAGTGGATTCATTCAAATTGGCTATGCCCCGTGATTTTTCCTCTTTTTCAGGTGTTTCCAAATAAAACTTCTTGTATCTCTTATAAACGCTACACCTGCTTTTATTTGATTGTGTGCTGGATCTTCGTACAAAACTAAGGCATTAAACTTTATAAATCTTTATCGTCGCGACGCAACAATTTCAAATCTTCGACTTCCTATGTAAAAACTTGCCACCCATGTGCATTGCGTTTAGTTTTTTAAATAACGCGTGCATCTTCTTGCAAATCTGAAGATGCTAATTCACTTCTTATGATCACGAGAACCCACCACGCCAGCAATGTTATAAGTTCATTTTATCATATTAGTAATAATTTAAATTTATCATAGCTATAACTATAAAAGCTTAAAATATCATTTTATCATATTATAAATAATTTAAATTTAAAGAATTAATGGTTTATTAAAAAAAATATCAATCATACAAAAATTATTTTGAAGCTAATTTAAAATTTAAATTTACTTAATGAGCTTATTAAATTGCTTCTCTCATAATCCATAGTTGAATATTGGTTTTAGTTTCAAGTAGTTGATCAACTGGTTTTCGTATAGCTCCACTTTTTGCAATTTAACTTAAAATACAAATTCATGTTAGGGGTATCAATAAATGACCTGACTTGTCCACCTAATTTGAAAATAAAGGTTCAGGTTGACCCATTTAATAAACAGGTCGAATTTAGGTTCGAATTTCTGACCCGTTTATTAAAATAGTAAACTTCATGTTGACTTGCTAACCTTATTTTGATTTGTTTAATATTTTTTCCTTATTTTTTTATATTTGTTGGCATGATCTTCTTATTTTTGATCAATTAACCCAGAATTGAGTTATCGGATATGGTTTAGATCATTAAGTTGCTAGCGGGTTAGGTTCAGGTCCATATTTTTTTGCCCGTTTATTAAACAATACCAGTTTCAATTATTCGAATTTAGATCAAGTCAAATTTTAATCAGACTTAAATCCAATCCATTAACTCTTTTTGACACATCAATTTGCCTGTATATTTATACGTATACTCCCAAAGTCACTGTTAATTTAAGCTTCATTTGGGATAACTTTTTTGCTGCTTTCTTAAACAGCTTTTTAGTATAAAAGTTTTTTGAATTAGAAAAAAATTTGTACTATAAAACCGTTTTATAAAACAATAAAGCCGTCCCAAACAAAGTCGTAATTGAGTCTTAAAAATAAGCTCATTAAGAAAATGAATGGTCCCACTTTAGAATTAAGTGCACCTAATTATCACATTAAAATCATATAATAATTAACTATTATTGGATCATGAAGTGTGAACATTCTGGATTTCTGGTCAATGATCTCTTCATCATGATCAGTTTTCTATATAATATGGAGCCGTTAACTTTTTGAAAGCAATATTGATTTCAAAAAAGAGAGAAATGGAGCTGTTTTGTGTGCTGTTTTTTTCTATCTTTTTTTTTACTTTGGAAACACCTTTGATTTTAAAATGAGTCAGTCAGAATAATTAGACCTTAATTTGCAAATAGAAATGTGAACTATGTGACATTATAGAAAAAAGGAAGGGGACATGAGAAAATCAAATTATAAAGGTGATAGGATGGATGGATGAACATTATTGGTATATTTGTAAAGAATGATAGAAGATATGAATTGATTGAGGGGAGTGATTAATGATGTAAAGATGATATTTTTGTGATATTGGGCATAAATTGATAATTTTTAATATATTTCTTTTTTTTTTTTTCGGGTGATTTATTTTATCTGTTTATTTAATAATTAGGTTGTTATTTTTTTTTTTTTTTTCAAACCGAAGAATCACAATATAAGTTGTTGATCTGAATAAAAGATTGATAATATAAGTTTTTTTGGTTAGTCCTACTAGTGGTTCCTTCAAGCATTGCCAAATCCCGTGGTTTTTTTTTTCCTATTTCAGGATCTTATTGTTTGTGATGAACATTGCACCATACTCTAATATATATATATATATATATAATTAAAATATGCTCGTCTAAAACTTGCTAAATTCATATTTGGGAAATCAGGTGGGCTTGAGAACAATCCAAGCATAACCGCATATTAAATATTAAATACATGTAGCATTTAATGGCAGTTGATATTTATTTTTGGAAAACGAGCAGAGCCCTCGCTTCCCCAATTCAAAATCCCGCGCAGAAACAAACAGTCGGGCAGAATGAATGGAGCTTTGAAACAGTCAGTCGGGCAGACGACACGGTCACAGAACGGGCTGATGACACGGAACTTGCGGATGACGCGGATGTACGCCGAGGCTCGGGAGCTGGCTCGAGCTCGTTTATAATAGGACGAGCTCGTCTTCTAGTTGGAGTTCTAACTGATGAGTCGAGCTCGATAGTGTCATTACTCGACTCGACTCGACTCGATTCACTCGTTTACACCCCTATCGTGAGAGATGGTATCTGATCGCCAAAAACAAGCTTGGAACCTGCAAATTTTAACACCTCTATTTAAAACGGACTGGCCCAAATAGCTCATGCTCGCGTCTTAAAACGGTAAGGGAGGCAGGCCGTCATCCCAAACACTGCTAGGCCTTCACGAATTCTCGCATTCAGCCCATCGTGGTGGTATTTGATTTGGGCCTTAGAGGGCCCTGTCCAGCTCCCGTGGTTTGCAGTCAAGAACCGGTCAGATCCGAATAGAATCGGGTTGGCTCGAACCCGCATATGGATCGGACTACAAGTTTTCCGGCTTCTTAGATGGAGTGAAGAGGCCGAAGAGAAGCGGCAGCGGCGATCAAAGATGAGCCTGAAGAACCTTCTCTGTTCGGCGGCTTTGCAGGGTGTTGCGGAGGCGCGTGCGAGGATATTTGGGCACGTTTTGAACCCGACGGGGAGGCGATCGCCTCACAAGATTCTACGCAAGAAGCTAATCGGTGAGAAGGTCGCTCAGTGGTACCCTTACGACATCAAGAACGATGACCCGCTCATCTTGGCTCGGGAAGAGAAGGAGTACGCGCTTCATTTATCATTCCTCTGTTCTAATACTCATTCTTTGGCCTATTTTCAGACAAATTTGTTATCCATTATTCAATTGATTTCATTACCCGAACACTTCATGTTGTCTTATTGCTTGCTCCAACAGTGATTTCATCACAGAATCTTCATATAACATCTCCAACTCATCAATGATATTACGACTTTTGCTGTAGATATTTCAATTCATTGGCTCTAACACCACATAGAAGTCTTAGGCACCTAGTTAGGGGTTTTAGTTACAAAAATTCAAGTGGTAAGCAAACACCATTGTGGATGCCAACTCTTAAAAAAAAGAGCATTGAAATTTGAAATTCAGAGCCAAGATGCTTCCTTAATTAGGTGCTCTCTTAGTTAGTAGAGGTAATTAGACATGGGATCTTATGGCTATCTGAGGTTTTTAAACCTATATCTAAAGAAGCCCTAATTCAACATCTTGAGAAATCTGCCTAAATAAATCACAATCTAGCTCAAAAAGGGAAACCTCAAGATCATCTTTTGTATGAAAAACTTTGATGAGTGATTCTTTTTTCTAAGAGATCACATTCGTTGCCATTAAGATCTGAATATCATTGCAAATCACTTTAACTTATCAAATTTTGATGGAAGGTAGTGGAGATGGCCTAAAATCACCAAGATTGTAGACTACTTGGCCCTATTGGATTTGGACGAGTTGGGCGAGATGCATACCCATTTGATTTGATTTTGATTATAAAATAGGAACAATCATCTTGATATATTTTGCTTGATGAGTGGGACTCTGTATCAAGATAAATTGATAGATAATCAATGAGATCTGATTTAGAGCACTATGCAAAATCAATTGGTTGATTTATTAAATAAATAAAATCAAATATGTGATGACATTATATGGTTAAAGCATGAATAAAAATTTTGAAAACTAATCAACTCCATGCTTGTGAATTTGAAGTGAATTTTAATAATAATGATGAACCAATTTAACCAAATATTAATAATAATGGTGAACCAATTTAGCCAAATATTAATAGTAGCAGGATACAGGGAAATAATCATTGTGGGGTGTTTGTTAATGATGTTTATGGAAATCATGTATTTCAAAATCTTGATTTAGATGATGGCATGACCAAAAATGTTAAAATTAAAGTTTTTTACATTTGGTGAAAATTGATCATTAAGTTTTTTTTATTAGATTTATTTATTTTTTTTAAATTACAAATTATTTAGTTTGAGTAGATCTAAAACAAAATACATGGAATGTATTTTTGTAGTAATAGATCTATTGGTGAGATTGTGACATTGGGTCATCAAATCATTAAAAAGAGTGCACATTTTAGATATCTCAGGTCTATTGTTCAAAGCAATGGTTAAATAGATGGGGATATTATTGGTAGAATTCAAGTTGGATGGTTGAAGCGAAGGAATGCATTGGGTTTATTGTGTGATAGAAAAGAACCCCTCAAACATAAGGGAAAATTTTATAAGATAGTGGTGAGACTTGCAATGCTTTATGAATCAAAATGTTGGCTACTAAAAGAGAAACATAAAATTAAGTTAAGTGTTGCAGAGATCAGGATGCTCTGGTGGATGAGTAGTTTTACACCTAGAGACAATGTGAAATAAGTATATATGTGAAAAGGTTGGAGTAGCTCCAATAGCAGATAAGATTAGAGAGAGTCGCCTTAGATGATATGGTCACATAAAATGTCGGTCTTCCGATGAAGTTAGGAGAGTAAATGTATTAGGTTTGGCCAATGTTAATAGAGGTAGAGGTAACCTTAAAAAGACTTGGTTAGAAAATATTAGAAATTATTATTTTTAATTAGATTTGTATGAGAATTTGACTATTAATAGAATACAAAGGAAAAAAAAAAGAATCATGTAGTCTACTCCACAGTGGAATAAAGGCTTGTTGTTGTTGTTGGGTGATAAGCAAGATTTGTAAAAGTTGAAATTGACTGGACAAGCAAAATTGTATTGGATGAGTATATGGAGAAATAAATGTAATTTTTTGGATGGTAATATACTGCGGCTTAAGCTGAAATGAAAGAACTTCCATTTGAAAATTACTCTTTGTTTTATCATGATTTCATGCTTGATGTGTTTAATTCATTGAAGTATTATTTATTCATTATGAGATTATTGAAGCTTTTAAAACCACATTCTTTAGGTTTAAGTTTAGTTTGAGACCCAATATAAAAAGATAGATGAACTCTTGCTATACTCCATTACTTTAGCACGAATTTGAACCCGCATTAGATTTTGAGCAAATGTTAAGTTTTTTATGTTTCAAAAAAATTATTACATATTTAGAGGGTGCGTTTTGTCATCAAAGAAGTTAAGTTCAATCTACTACACTTGTTGTATCTAAGGATAGTAACACTATAGTTAATAAATATATTATATGAAATTATTTATATCCGCATCTATGTCTAAAATTTGCTATCAAAGCATGATTTAAATGTCATTAAATCTATTATTATGCTAATGAGTGTCCAGGTATGATCTTGCATATAAATCTAGAGGAAGATAAATGATTCATTGATTTGATGTTGTTCATGAGTTTTATGAGTTGATTAGTAACTCTAAGAATGCTTCTGTTGACAAATTTTTAATTGTTATATGTTATATCATAACTATACTTAAGGAGTTTGATTAGAAGGGAATGCAAATTTTCAAGCTTTTTTAAGATAAAAAAGGTCAAAATGATCACTAAACTATTTATTGGAGTGTGTGTTGGGGGAAGGGTGGTTTCGAGTTCTTTTATTATCAGATTATCCTATGTGTCCAATTTAGTCCTTTAACTTCTTAAATCTTATTCAAAATATGATGTGAAACGTACATGCGATGATGAGTTTCGTAATGAAAGCTTGCACGCTTAATTTTAGATAGAACAATTTGGGCGAGTGGGGACCACGAAAATAATTTCAGAATTTAATCCCAAATCTGAAATTAAAATTTCAGTTTTGATAGTATTAAGTGGTTTCCTAATTAGAGCAATTAATTAGATTGAATTTGAATTTTGAATTCAAACTCAATTCTAATTTAATTGGATTGCCATAATCAAGGGAGCCATTTTAGGAAACACTTAATAGCCAATTAACTCCAAAATTTCAGAAAAAATTTGAATTGAATGGAGGGGGAAAAAAGGAAAGGGCGGCGGCAAGCTGGAGAGGGCCGGCGGCTGGGTGAACCGGCGGCTGCTGGGTGGGATTTGGGCCGGCGAGAGGGGGGGTGTTGGCTGGGTCGGGATTGCTAGGGAGGCCAGCGGCCTGGCTGGGGCGGAAGATCAGAGGCCGGCGGCTTTTGCTGGCCCAGGGAGACAGCACAAAGTGGAGGGGAGAAAACTCAGAGGAAATCTGAGAATTTCTTCCACGACCTCTTCGTCACGAATTCGGCTCTTCTTCTCCTTCACACTACAAGCAAGAATTAGATGGAGAACTCACAAAGAGATCTATCTAGCCCTTTGAACTCACTAAGAGATCAAAGGGGGGTGCACTCACAAAGAGAACAAAAGAGGCTAATTTTCATTTCATCAAAAACTAAACTCTTACATGAGAAATGGGCCATATAAATAGGCCTCAAAATGACAAAGAAAGTAAAGTACTAAAATGCCCCTTGGGCTACAATAGCTACCAAATACCCATAAGGGTAAAAACGGAAAAACATAAAATAAAAATAAACTACTACATAAAATGATGAAAATACAAATCATGATCGTGGCCGTCGATCTCCGGCATCTTCTGAAGGTACATGTGTCGAAATCGCTGTTGATGTCCCCATCAAAATAATTCAACTAAGGGCTATTTTGGATCAGTTTTGAGAATTTATGGATTAAATTAAATATATTATATAGTTGGGACTAAAAGGGCCTTATATAAATAGTCTAGGGACCATTTTGTCATTTTTTTTAAAATTTAAGCATAAGGAGAGATTTTGCAAATTTATTGTTGATAGGGGAGATGGATGAATTTCGTGTCTAACTTTTCCCTAGATTACATTAATTTAAAATTGGAACCACATCTTTAATCATTTAAGTAGCTTGAGTAGATAAACTTATTATTTCATTATTTTGGAGTTGTTTAGTTCCTATTCAATTACTGGTTTTAACTGATAGAAGTGGGTATGATGTATTGCATATCAATGTTGCTTATATTATTTTGGGTAACTTTGGTTATATGATCTTGTTGTTACTCATTTTGGAAGGTCTAATATGTATGGCTTTCATGACTAATGGAGAATGATAATTTTGAAACCTGTTAATTTGAAGAGTAAATCTATGTCTACGAAAGAAGCTAGTTCTCTTAATGAAGTAAAAAATTATTTGTGTAGTTCGAGCCTACATACATTTGAGAAAGAGAGTAGACAAGTGGAGTTGAAATATACATTGGTAGCTATTGAGTTGAATAATATGTACCTAAGATTGTCTGTTAAACAAATGTTGGTTGATTTTCTAGATATTTTGTTTGATTTGCTTCCTAATGCATTACCACCATTTAGGGGCATAGAGTATTCTATTGATGCATCTTATATTACTTAATATTTTTGTGGTGGTCAAATTACCCAAAATTATTGTTTTTGATCGGAATGTGAAATTTCATAGTTATTTCTAGAAAACTCTATTAAAAAATGAGAATACAACTTGAATTTTTTTATATGCTTATCTCATGCAAACCGAGGTAATTAATATGAGTTTGGGCGATTTATTGAATTGTTTGATAAAATATCATGTATATATAGTGGGATTGATATTGCCAATAGTTGAGTTTTGCATGTAATTCATCTGCGAATAGGCTTACAAGTATGAGTCTATTTCACAATGTCACATTATTTCCACCTAGAAGCCCAATTGATCTTTTTGAGCTTACTTTTAAGTGAACGCCTCGTGCATTTAGACAATCATTTAACATAAAATATACATCTCTTGCATGGGAGAAATCACAAAACATTGGCTGCTAACTATGATATTTATAGGATTTCTGATACTATAATTAGTGGTAAGTGGAATTTAAGCTAGGGGATAAAATAATGGTGTATTTGAATTCAAGTAGGCTTTTTTCAAGATTAGTTAAAAAATTAAATTCAAGAACCGCCAAACTATTTAAAATCATCCAGCCAGAACAAGCGCTTATAAATTAGACATTATAGAAGACGTGAACTTATTTCATGTACTCAGATTACTCTCATTCCATCTCTTCCTTGTGAATTCCTTGTACAAAATTGTATAGCTTGTTCCCGAAGCTATTCTAGATGAAATTTTGCTTACTCTTAATGATGGATTCCTTAGATATCGTGTGCAATAGCATGCGTAAACTGTTAAATTGAGAGAATTGGAGAGGAAAAAGACTTAATTTTATTGCTCAAACCTGCCCCTATTTATAGATCTATACAACATATAATTGATGAGGATATATGACCTTGGAGAGTCTAGCCGTTGATCTACGACCACAATTGTGCCACTTTACTTTTGATCATCATTGTAATAGATTTATTATTGATGTATTAGTTTATGAGTTTTATTGTACTTTTCCTTTTATGCCCCCACTTGAGGGCCTAGTCATGTGTATGCCCTAGGGACAAGATGGTCTTTGTATTTCTCTTCTCTGTATTAGCTATTTAAAGCCTTCCCCTCCTTTGAGGGTTAATGAGTGATATTATGAAAATTTCAGCAATTGTGTTTTGAGAGCTTAGAGTTTTTGTGAGGAGAAGTCCCTAGGTGAAGGGCTGCGTAGTACCCACTAATCGTAGGAAGCATCAGGATTCGTGGTCTTTATCTTCCCCCACCCCCCTCTCAGCCGAACCCCCATCAACACCCCAATTCCTGCCGGCTACCTCCCTCCCCACCTCCAAGCCGCTGCCCCATGGTCCCCTTCCTTCCACCCAACCGCCGGCCACCCCTCTCCCAACTCCAAACCGCCGGCCCCAACCGCTAAACCCTAACCCTAATTCTAGCCGCCGGCCATTCTAACCCCAACCCTTTTGCCGCCAAAATTCAAATCATCCATTTAACTCTTTCCATTGTTAGAAATCTTAAATTAGGAAAGTTTTCCAAATTTAAATTTTAATTGATTTGAATTTGAAGTCAAAAAAAAAAAAAACAATTGTTTTTTTTTTTAAGTCATTTCCTAAAATAGGATAACCTATGTTGCGAAAGTTTTAGGAAAGTTTAATCATAATAAAGTCATTATTAGATGTTCTTAATACGCCATCGAGACTCCTTAAATCAAAACTCGTTATATTTCTAAGCTTTGTAACCAGCCAATGCGTTCCAGATGCAAAAGATGACCAAGTTTGCATTTGTGGGCTTACTATCTACTTTCTCAAGAAAAACAGTTTCTTAAAGAGCACTTGCTGACTCTGAATGCTCTGTTAGATGCTAACTTAGGTTTCGTTTGGGATGGCTTTCTTACTGCTTCTTAAAACATCTTTCTAGTATTAAAATTTTAATTTTTGAATTAGAAAGCCACTTTAAAAAGAGTAAGAAAGCCGTCCCAAACAAAACCTAAGCACATTTCTTATGTTCAGCATTTTAAAGAACTTTGTTGTATCTGAATGAGGCCTTCTTTACAGGCGATTGGCTAAGCTCGAAATGCTCAAGCGTCGTGGTAAGGGTCCTCCTAAGAAGGGCCAGGGAAGGCGAGCTGTGAAGCGCAGCAAGTAGTAAGTTAAAATCACCTTTATCTTCTTAGTTCATTTTCTTTTGGTCATCATTAAAAGGCATCACTAGTGAAGCTTGATACTCTTTTTCTTGATTATTTGCGTGTCTACTGTTACATGCATGTAGGAAGCCATGTATTTAAGTTATTTGCTGAGAGTCTGTTAAGTTCCCTGTAACTGATAAATAGTGACAATTTCTACTTCTGGAAAACTGAAATGAATTTCATGGTAGAAGTTTCTGAGCTTAAATAGAAGAAAGAAGAGGGAGTATTTTGATGTGTTTGGCAGGCACACAATAATAAGGCCATAAGCTAGTGAACAACCCAAATGAAGGATGTGTTCCCTGATTCCTCTCTTCTTATAAAATGGCCACCCACCATTTCTGTGTGATTTTATGTTCAATATCATATTATTAACATCAAGACATTTGCTTTTAACATTTGGCATAAGGATGTATAACACAAAATCCTACTTAGCTTAAGGCTTTCGTTTGGAGAGAAATTATTATGTGCGGAGGCTGGATGCAAAACGTCGTCCGGAAACCAACCAGAATGTGTCACGGCAGCGGTACCGAATGAAGGGGTGATGTGGCACATTCTGGTTGGTCTTCGGACGGCGTTTGGCGTCCGCGCAAAATAATTTCTCGAATGGAACAACTCTCTTACTATTTTCAAGAATCAGTTTTCTAGTATAAAATTTCTAGTTTAAAAAAAAATTGTGTATCAAAATTGTTTTGGAAAGCACTAAATAAACTATCCCAAACGAAACCTAGAACACGATAAAAAAAGTTTTCAGTTTGTTCTATTAATGATATATGACGAGCATAAACATTTTCCATCCATTTAATGGCGGCCCTGAAAATTAGAAATTTCACCGGCAAGACTCAATTTTGCCTTCAGCAGGTTATATTCCTATGATGATCCCCTTCTGGAGGCCAATCTAGATGGACCTTTTCCTTGGAAGAAAGCAAAGTATTTTCTCTTTCAACATCTCTTGGGCTTAGGGGTGTAAGTTAACCGCCCGAGCCGGCTCGAGCTCGAGTCGTTTATGGGCTCGTGAGCCGAGCTTATCGAGCTCACAAGTCGAGCTCGAGTTCGAGCTTAAGCCGGCTCGATTAAATATTAATATTTTTAAAATAATTTTATTTTATTTATTAAATTTAAATATTAAAAAAATTAATAAAAATCATCTAAGTTTTATTTAAATGTTAAACATTTCATAATTTTTTCTAAATTTTAACTAAGTTTGAAAATTCCCGCTTAAATTTTAAAAAATCCGCCTAAATTTAAAAATTCCCGCCCATAACTTGTGAGCCGGCTTGAGCTTGTTTACAATGAGACCAGCTCGAGTTCGAGCTCGCTTTCCAACTAACGAACTTGGCTCGATAAGGGTCTAAACTCGACTCGACTCGTTTGCACCCATACTTGGGTTCGATGGCTTCTCTATTTTGTTATCTTGAGAAATGTTTCCAACTTAGTTGGAGTTCAGATGGTTATGGATTTAATTTTTGAAGTTTTCAATTTGATTTTGCTTCTAGATTCATACTCAATCAAGATAATTTTTTGATGATGATGATATATATATATATATAATTATTTATTTAAATTTAACATTTATTACATTATCTGATTTGATCTCAACCATCCAATCCTTGAACCTCTCTTTTTGATTTGATTTTCACAACGTCAATCAAAATATAAATAGAATAAACTAAAATAAAAATAAAAAATAAGAAGAAAAGGGGGCCCAATTGTCCTTTTAATTAATTGTGTAAATGAAGTAGATAACCAAAATTAGTCTTTAGGGTGGGTATGATTTTAGAAAATTTAACATAAAATTTACAAAATTTGTGGGATTTTTAGATTAGACCGCTTCTAGATTCTGACCTTTTCTCTCTTTTTTAGATCTATAGTTGGAAAGGAGGCACGTTGGCCCATGTCAGGTAGATGTATTATATATTTATATGAATTAGGTTGAGTCGAATATGTGCGTAATTAAGCTGAGCTTATTTAAATTTTATTGAGCTCGAGTTCGAGCTCGACTCGATCTCATTTGGCTTGACCTTGACTCATTAAAAAATTTGTAGGCTCATGCTCTTGCTTGATTGCATGAGCTCATTTGGAGCTCATTTGGAAAGCTTGAGCTTGATTCGATTATTCAGCTCGATTTCTTAGTTTAAATTAAAATTTTGGTTACTTTAATTTTTTTTATTTGTAATATAAATTTAGTTTTAAAAAGTTAAAAATATATTATATAATATTAATTTAAATTAATTTTAAAATATATTTAAAATTAATCAAGCAGATCTACGAGCATATATATATCAAAAATAAAAGTTTGATAATATAATATTATTTGTATTATTAGAATATATTCATATAAATTTGGATTGAACTCAATTTGAACCCACAAGTGAGCCATTTAATATTTTTCCTAAATTTTTTTACTTCTTGGCCTGTTCTTTTTATTTTTGATTAATTAACTTAAATTTTATAATTGACAAGTTATAAATTGTTTTAATTAAAACAAACTATTAAATCAATTTTGAATCAGATCCAAAAATAACCTGTTGACCCGTGTGGACACATAATTTGTTATTTCTTTGATTAAACAAATATAAAATAAAATATAAAACAAGAAATTCTAGAACATGACACATAAGCTCTGAATCATGGAAAATTGGAAAATCAACATTAGGGGAAGATATTTACAAAAAAAAAAGTAATTTAAATTATCAAAATTAAAACTTCATAAATTTATATTTCATTAGACCTTCATATTTAGTATGCCATCAAATATGCAATATAATATTATTTGTGACTGTTTTTGGATAAGAGTGATTTTTTTTTTAAGTTAATAAAATAAATATTTGATTAATTATTTGTACATTATATTTTTTTTTCAAAAATAAAATAATTTTAAGATTAATTTTGATCAATTTTTTTATTGTATAAATGGCCCACAACGCGTCAGGGACGGAGCCCGTGTATTTTATTACGGTTGACCCTTCTTATTCAGGCCGCCTTGTGCTTCTCCTTCGCATTCCTCTCTCGTTCTGTCTCCGCCGGCAAAAGTGACCGTTTCTTACCCTGCTTCCTTCCTCCTTCTCTCAGCCTCCAGGTGTGGAATAGAAAAGAGAAGAGGGGCTAGATCGGTTGTAGATTGGAGTATAGAATAGTAATTAAAAGTAACGTCTTTCTCTACTCTTCCGAAGAACAAGGGGCAGTCCATCCGATATCGTCTTCGACCTTTGAGTGCTCATCTTTCCCCTGGGAGGATGATGAACAGTACGAGCGCTTCTCCGGCCGCGCCGATCTCTGCTTCTGGGGATGGGTCGGACGCGAGGAGGAATTCCAAGAGACCTAAATGTAAGTTTAAGCTATAAGGGATGAAATTTGGTTCATTTTTTGCTTTATTTATTTCTTAGGTTAGCTAATATTTGGATCTCGGTCTTTTGATTACTCACCACAACCTATGGTTATGCTTTCTCTGTTGGAAAAAAAGATTTATTTTATTATTTTATTTTTATGTCTCTCGTGGCTTAGGGTTCAACTAGGTTTTTTTGGTTCTCGCGTTATCCTCTAGATCGGATCCAATTTATTCGGGAAAAGATTAAAAATAAAACATTTATCAAATTGGGATGAGAAGTTGGATTTCTGTTCATTTTTTTATGAAGGAGTATAATTTCGCTACTCCTGATAATCACCGGGAAATTTATTTGATGTTGTTGTGTATTTAAGATTTTAGGTTTAAACAGGAAGAGCTTCCGGCGTCCAATCCAAATCTCATCCCTCAATGGGTGTGCTTCCGATTTGAGTACCTGTGATTTAGGGTTCATTTGGTTGCTGAGGATTGAAAACTTTTTTTTTTATTTAAATTATGATTTAGTTTGAAATGATTATATTTGAGGGTTTGACAGAATTTAGGGAGTTCATAGTCAAGGTTGATTTGTAAACTCTAACTACAACTAACCAAAGGATGAATCTAACAAATAAAATCATTTTCCTAACTGTGTTTTCTATTTTAAAGCAAACGAAGGGATCAATTTCTTATAGATAGAAGGACCTGATTTGTTTGACTTGGCTTAATCGATTTCTTATGATAAGTTGGCTTTGCTTTTGGCCTTCTAATTCCTCACATGCAGTTCAAACTTCCGGGTTTTTTCCGAAGAAGATGACCTCAAAATTTCTTGGCGTTTGTTCCTTGTATACATGGAAGTTTAATAAAGATTTTCATATATTGGAAGACTATTTTACATTTATGTTCATCTTTTTCTGCCAAAGACTATAACTAGGCTTGGTCTGATATTCATCTGGGTATTTATCTGATATGTATACGCTCTTGGTTTCAGATTCAAGGTTTACACAGCAAGAACTTCCAGCTTGCAAGCCAATTCTCACTCCTCAGTGGGTATGCTCCCATAATTATATTACTTGTGATTGTTTGTGAAATTTTGAATGATATTTATTGCGGAGAATCTGTCATCTTATGTAGGTGATCTCTATTTTCACTTTGGTTGGCATAATCTTCGTCCCCATTGGTGTTGCTGCGCTGCTTGCTTCTCATGATGTAATGTGCCATTTTAATAATATCAATCTTCCACAACTTTTTGCTTTGTTTGCGGTGGTAAATTTAAATACTGACATAGTTTCCATTTTCTAGGTTGTTGAAATTGTTGATCGATATGAAACAGATTGCATTCCAGGAAATGATAAGATTGGACACATTCAGAATCCAACAAGTAACAAAACCTGTATACGGGTACTAACGGTAAGATATACAAAGTGCTTGTCAGATTTGCTCAGATTTTATTTACCTTTTTTTTATTTGAGAAAAAAAAAATCTAGACAGGGCTGAAATTATCCCATATGCACTTGGATTTTGTTTAGAAACTGAAATTATAAACAATAGTTCTTGACTGCTGATGGTTTATGAAATGGATGATTGCTTTTCTGATATGATAAATAATCACTAAGGCAGGCTTGAATGCCTGTGAGGCAGGGGAAATTATTATGTGCGGAGTTCAAATGTAGAGAATCTTTTGGATTACTGCGTACCCTATGCGTAAGCTCTACGTATTTGTAGATATGCAGTAAATAAGCAACAAATAATTAGTTGTGAGGATTTGCTGCGTATCTACAAATACACAGAGCGTAAGCAGAGCATACGCATTGCGTCCAGTAATCCAGAAGATCCTCTACGTTCGGACTCCGAACAGAATAATTTCCCATGAAGCAGGCTTTTTTTACTGCATCTCTATGATTGGTTTTTTATTTCAGTCATAGTGGTTCATAGTTTTGGTGGGGTATCTAACCGCACCTCCAAAACTTCCTTTTAATAAGAGCAAACCAATCATTTGATTAAACAGTATGGATAATATGAGAATTATCGGTTGCAGGTACCCAAGGATATGGATAAACCTGTTTATGTGTACTATCAACTTGACAACTTCTATCAAAACCATAGGAGGTATGTTCAAATTCTTTTTAGTTTAGCTTTCATTGGATGCTATTTATTACATTTCATTGACATAATCATAGAAGTAGTAGCAAGTCAGTACACCTTAACGTAGAAATTTCATTTATCTCCTTCCATAAGCATCTTCTTCCTATACAGATACATGAATTACTTCTGTGGAACAGTTCTTTTTTCTCTTCTTATAGAAACTAAATTTCAGGTATGTCAAGAGCCGAAATGATCAGCAGTTGAGAGATAAGAACAAAGCTAATGAAACTAGTGGCTGTGACCCAGAAAAGACTACTGCGAATGGAGTTCCTATTGTCCCTTGTGGTCTTATAGCATGGAGTTTATTCAACGACACATACAATTTCACCCATAATAATGGTAAAGCTCTGACAGTTAACAAGAAGGATATTTCATGGAAGAGTGACAGGAACCACAAATTTGGATCTGATGTCTTTCCCAAGAACTTCCAGAATGGTGCCCTAATAGGTGGTGGAAAGCTTAATCCTAAAATACCGGTAAGTTTTTTTTCTTCTTTTCAAATCTAGTTTGATTTAGGCTTCGTTTGGGACAGTTTTTTTGTTGCTGTTTCTAAACCAGCTTTCTAGTACAAAAAATTCTTGAATTAGAAAATTTTATACTAGAAAGTTGTGTCAGGAAGCAGTGCGAAAGCTGTCTCAAACGAAGCCTGAAATTGCATGGTTTACTATTAGCCTGACCATATTTCTGCTGTTATGTTGATCTTTACAGTTGAGTGAGCAGGAAGATCTCATTGTTTGGATGCGTACTGCAGCCCTGCCAACATTTAGGAAGTTATATGGGAGGATAGAGGTGGATCTCAAAGAGAACGATACCATTACAGTGGTACTAGAGAACAACTACAATACTTACACATTTGGTGGTAAGAAGAAGTTGGTTCTTTCAACCACAAGCTGGCTTGGTGGAAAAAATGACTTCCTTGGCATTGCATATCTTTCTATTGGAGGAGTTTGCTTCTTTCTGGCAACACTTTTCACGGTCGTTTATTTGTTAAAGCCTAGGTGAGTCCTGCTATCAATATCTGTTCCAGTGTATAAACATGCTAACATAGATGTGTAACTTTTGAAACTAGTAGGCAACATTTTTCACGGACTGAGGCGGTAGGGGTGTCAATTAAGGTCAATCGGTTAGGTTCGGGTTCTGATTAAATCTGAGTTGACCCGAATTTAAACAGATCAACACCTAGCCCGACCCGTTTTTACAAATGGGTTAGATATTTGTACACGGATCCAACCATCGCGGGTTATCGGGTTGAACTGACCCAACCTGTGGACCCATTTTGGATAAAAATTTTTCATAAACAAAAATCAAATCTATTTAAATTTACTTATTAAAACATAACTTTGTTTTTAATACTGCATGTTTTTGTTATTCCTTTAGACTGAAACAATCATAATTCTTTTAATATTCATATAATCATATGCCCATGTCATTACAATATTTGTCCTTTAACCCCTCCTATACGTTAAATGCAAATATTTAATATTTGTGCCCGTCAGATCCTAGCTGAGGCACTCTTTCCTACTTTCCCTCTCTACAAACCCTTCAATCTGTCAATCAAATCGGTCTACAGCAAGAATGAATTACCAAGATAACGTAAGAAAAAAGATGAAGAATCCAAAAAATTTACAAACCGATGCACAACAGATATCTCCACCTTTTCGGAAGAAAAAAATGGTGATTTCGATTTTCGGATTGACGCGGCTTGCCTGACGGCTGACGCGATGGCAATGAGACTACACGCGGACTAGTGCTACAAAATGGGTTGAATTCGATGTTCTCGGGTCAAAACAGATTGATTTCGGGTTTCTGGGTCAACCATAATTGGTTTTGCAAACAGGTCCAAAACTCGAATCTGAACCCCACCCTTATGGTAAACGGGTTGACCGGGTTTTCCGGGTCGGGTCCGGGTAGGGTTTCGGGTCTTGTCAGTTTTTGACACCCCTAACTGAGGGTATGCACGGTAAACGCAGTGTGATCCATTTTGCAACTGATAGGAACCATAACTTTTTTTATCAATCAGTTATTTTCTTCTTAGAACTGAACTTCAATTTTGGACAAAGGTAAATAAAGGGCTTGGGTCACCTTAGTTATATTGGCACCTTAGGCAACAAGGATTAGCTTTTGATCTTGTTTTAAGATATGTGCATGCTTATATTCTTCCAAGTGATTTAGGCTTGAGATAACTTGATTATGTAGACTGCCATTAGTATAATGTTTCATATAACCTGGATTTGATCTACACAGTCATATCTTTGCATTTCCAAAAACTCTATTTTTATGATTAGCTCAGTTAATCAAACCCTATCTACATCATTACAGAGGCAACTTGGCTACTGTGCCCAGTTTTCACCATCTATATAACTTGGAATGGCTAGCTTCAAAAATAAACTTTAGAATATTGTTCTTGAAATCTTCCTTGTTGATAAAAGAGCTGATCATAGGCTTCATTTGGGACGGCTTTCTTTCCGCTTTTTAAAGCAGCTTTTTATTAGAAAAAAAATAATTTTTGTACTAAAAAGCTTCTTTAAGAAGCAGTAATAAAGCTATAATTTCTGGAAAAAAAAAACTGCCATTGTTGTCCAACATCCATTTTGAAAAACTGAAGTCTGGTGAATTTTATGCTTTAGCTTTATTAATACATTGATGCCATTCTTTCTTTCCTGATTTTCTTTACTATTTTTCTCCAGGAAACTTGGTGATCCGTCATATTTGTCATGGAACAATAATCGCTTAATGCAGTAGCTGTTCTAAAAGCTGACACAACGGTTCGCTAATGGCCTTTTTGTTTTATTCATGTACTATGTTTGTAGGGACCTTTGCAGATTGAGACTCGGTTTGACAATATGAATGTGTAATTAGTTGAAATTTCTTGTAATTTGACGATTCTTCACTTCAAATATACCTTTTTTTTTGCCATTACTTTGTGGTTGCCATTTGTATGATTTGATAGAGTTATAAATTTTTTAATAAATATAATATAATTTAAATTTGATTTAATTATATGCATTTGAAATTCATTATATATTTTGTTAATAATCCTTTAGTACAATTAAAATATCTATTAGTTGATTATTGATTTGTTATTATAATTATGTTCGTGAATATGTTCATTTATTCCTTGATAATTAATTTTCAAGCTTGATAAAGTACTTTTTTCATGTTGTATAGTTGCTTAAGTAATGACTTTATATTCTATGTCAATTTATTAATTATCTTATATATTATACATTTTGTTAGAAGCATATGCATAAAATATCATAAATGATAGCCAATCAAGAGACATGTGGATCATGAGAGAACATAATGTCAAAGGATAGGAAAAGAGAGAGGCATAGAGGATGAGACTTTTGAGCTAAGTTGCTTCCTATTCTTAGAAAAGAGCATGACAAAAAGAGGTCTCCTTAGTAGATTTGTAGGAGCATAGTCTGTCAGCTTAAAGGGTGATATATTTTGAAAGAGAAGAGATATAGAGTGAAGAATTTAGCAAAGGTTTATGTTATTTGGGCTCCTATATTATAACTATGGTGTTGAAAAGTGGATGGTTTCTTTTATAAAAGGCAAAATGTACAAAATGTAAGAAAAGTTCATCATGTTTATGTAACAACCCAAATTCTTATATATTAATGTATGATAAGCTTTGGCTTAATGGTTTTATAGTTTTGTTCTATTGATGTAACTTTCCAGAAGGATATTTATCTCCAGATTACTCTTGCACAAACATGCTTAACCTTAGAGTTTCTTAATGAAATTCTAACATTATACCAAAAGATGCATTGATGTTTAAGAGTTTAGCTTCTTTTTTACTTAAGTGTTTCACAATCTCTTCCACTTCCCACTTAAGTGACTGACGTCCTCATCAGAATCATTATCTCATAATCATCCACTAGACAGATATGATTCTATAAAAGATTCATAAAAGTTCAAGTGGTGGCTCACGTCATGTAGCACTTTGTCCCATATAGGATTCAAGAGATGGCTCTCATGGCATAGCATTTTATCTTGTATGACACTTAGTTCTCATCTTTAACCTAGTTTATTGCTTTGTACACTTTTGTAACAGCCCAAACTCTTAAATATCAAGATATTCTCTGCTTTGGCTTATTAGACTCTCAATTTTATTTTGTTTGTGTGACTTCCAAGGAGGTTAGCCATCTCAAGATTGCTTTCGCACTAGCACACTTAATCTTGGTGATGGAAATTCAACCATTACACGAAAAGATGCATCGATATATAAGAGTTTTTTTTTTTTTTTTTTTTTTTTTTTTTTTTTTTAACTCGAGGGATTTCACAGTTCAATCGGCTTGAGATCTTATCGATGAAGGACGAGAATAAAGAAGAGATGGAGAAAGACTCTCTTACAATACTAGGCTTTTATCTTCTACCTTTAGTCTCACCTACTTGACCACTTCATTATGGAAGCTAATTGACATAAATATGGCCAGCTTGAGATGTCATTGTAAGCCTTCAAAATCTTATCACTCTAATAAAAGTTCGTCACGTTGTATTATATAGAATCCGCTAAGAGGCGACACATCTATTATGTTACAATAACTACCTATCATGCCTTGTAAGCAACCCAAGGACCAAAATTATGAATCATATCACCTTTTAGGGATAATGCATAGCTTTTGAGTGCTTCCAAGCATAAAACCTAGACTATATATTTTGTTGTTTTTCAGCACCCTCTATAAAAACTCCCTTCTTCTTCTTCTATGAAAGAACCTTTTTTTCAAAACTTTCATAGTGGACATCTCTCTCTTATTATATTAGGAACATAGGCTACAAATTTGAATAACGTAAATCATAATCTTTGTATGTCACCTTCTTCCTCTGCCTTGCTTTCTTTACTCTCCTCTTCATAAGGATGCTTGGAGACAGCTCTCTGCCATGTCTTCTCCAATATTGCTCAAATCATTGCAACCTTCATAGCAACATATACAACTTTCTTCTTATGAATCTAGAAGTATATTGAGTTGAAGGCTTATCCTCTATTCTCTCTCTTATAATTGCCATCTCCTTTCCCTCATTTGTTGTTTCACACTATCCTAATGGTAGATCAAATTTCATTGTTCATGCCTCTTATTATGTCCATCCTCTTAGGGTTATTATAAGGAAATATCATGTTTAGATACTTGGGATATTATATTCATTTGATGGTATCATCAGTATTAGTCGTCGTCATCATATTACCATTATTGAACCACTGACATATGCTTGAGCTAGCCATAATCTAGGCATGCTGGCCTAGTCGGCCCATATGAATCATCATTTGGAAATATTTTTTATCATTGTAGGGGGCATTTGGATTGTCGATTATTGATATATAAGGAATATTTTGAATAAAATCTAAAATGGCATGCACAAAATTATAAACAACATTCATATCATTTGAAGAGATTATTCAAGGTTTAATACCTTTTGAATCCCTTGAGAACATCTATGAGCTCTTAACACATCAAGATTCATGATACAATCTTCAATTACATTTTAATAGTCAGTTGCATGAGCTATAGTACCCTTCATTTATGTCACCATCGTCCCTATATGACAACTTTTGTTTGCATCCCAATCATCTCTCTCAATATTTATATTATAAATATCGCTTGGGGCCTTACGCAAGAACCAGCTCCAAGTACACCAACCACTACAATTGTGACAAAACTACAATATTTTTTTTGGGAGATTTACATACATACCACCTTATACTATTCTATTTACATATTTAACACCTAAAACTTTAATATTACATAAATACCACTCATAGTTCATTTTCATATCAAATATGAGTGGTAGAAATGAAATATATGAGTGGTATGAAAAAAATATAAGTGGTATATTTGATATTAAAATAATATAGGGTGGTATGCATGTAATATTAAAGTTTTAGGTGTTAAATATGTAAATAGGATGTTTTAAAGTGGTATGTATGTAAATTTCCCTTTTTTGTTTCATACTTTTTTACATTCATAACACCTAAAACTATTGAAAATACATATTTAATACCTAAAGTTTTATATTTACTAATATACCACATAAAACCCCTCTTTTAATCAATTCTAACATTATGTTTAAACCTTACGTAAAAAATCACTATCAGCAATTGTCTTCCCAGTTAATGGCATCCTTTCACAGTAAATACAAGTATCTCAGCGCTTCAATGGAGTGGCAGAATAGAAGGAAGTGGAGATTTTATGTGCTATATTAATAAACATAAAAGTTTAGATATTAAATATGTATTTTTAATAGTTTTAAGTGTTTTGTATGTAAAAATCCTTTTTTTTTTGTTTTCATTGTATTAACATTATCTAATTAGCCAAACATTATAATTTTTTCGTATTAGTTGAAGATATTCAATTTGATAAGGTTCCATAGTTTTTTTTGTTCTATTTTCTTATATATAAAATCATATATCCATGCTCTACTTTATTTAATTGTTATGTGTCAATTGAAAATGAGAAAAAAGACAAGCGAGGTTGATCCTTATTGTAATGTCATATCAAATTATATGCGTGAAAAAATGGTTTATTTAAAATAAATTAATATTAATATTAATAAAGATTATATATATATATATAAACCCCTAAATTACAACATAAAGTTAAGCCTGAATCTTTTCCGCAATAGATTTTTACCCTCGATGGAATCTCGGGAGCAAACGACAGCGAGGGGCTATAACTGCGACAAAGAAGAAAATTTCGGTAGAGCGAGTGGGAAGTCCAGCGGTGGAGATGGACAAGCTATTCTCCCTATTTTCAACCTCAACCGGTAGAAGTTCGTCGGCGCCGGCGGCGACGGTCACCTCCATCTTTATATACCCGATCAAGTCTTGCCGAGGGATCTCGGTTCCTCAGGCTCCCATCACCTCTACTGGTAATTTCGTCAGTTTCTTTGTGGAAAAAAATACATGAATGTTTATTGTTTCTAGTTCATTTTTCAACACCTGCATCACTCGTGAGATTTCTTTGTTGTTGTTTTTTTGTTCGCAGTTGTGTCTTAGCAGCTCTTAGGTTTTGCCAAGCTCGTTATTCTGCTGCATTTGTTGTTAAGGGTTTCTGAATAGGGTGGACTTAGAAATTTCATCGATTTCTGCACCAAGCGTGTTTAAGGGGACGTGCTACTTAAAATTTTATTACATTTTTAATATATTGTTTTTACTGTAAATATTTAATTATTGAAAAAAATTGTTAATTTATATGTTTAAATTAAGAAAAATATGCTCCCCCATTAAAAATTTCTTGGTTCCTGTGTCCGCCTCCCATCGCACTGATATAAATCTGCTTGAATGAAGCGCCCCTGATGAATATGGCAGTTTTCAAATTGTTTTAAAATCAGCTAATACCTATGAAATTAGTTTAGGGATGAAGAAATGCAAGTAGCGCAGGGAATTCTTAGATCACTTTTTAGAAACAGGACGACCATGTTTGATAGCTATGCTTCTATTCTGTTTTTGGAACAAATGGTTTGTTTCATGAAATTGCGAAAATACCTACATAGGCATTCACATGTTTTGGAAATATACCTGTGGCTGATTCGATAAATAGACTAATTAATTTGATATCAATAAGATGAACTATTCATTAATTAGTGTTATATTAATATCATAAGATTTTATTAATATATAATAATTTAATATTTTGATTTAGGTTAATTAACTAATTTCATATTTAATGTAAATAATAATTAACTCTTTTATTAAACAATTAAATCTTTAATTATGACCATAAAATTTCATTACTATTCAATCTTAAGAATGGGACCTTCTGTAATTAAATAATTGATTAAGTATTTAGAGATATTTGATTTATTTTAATTAGGATAATTAGAAAATTATTAACAATTAATTGATATCATTAAAATTTTATTAGGATTTAATCGATAATTATGCCTAAGATAATTAATTAGTAGATTAATTTGTAAGGGTAATTGACAACTAAGGAATCATTTAAGATAATTAGGATTAATTAGTATTTGATTTAATTATTAATATTTTCTTAGTAGTTACTTATAATAATTAAGATTGGAATTACTAATTAATTCATAAATAACCAAGGTAATTATTAAGTTAATTTTGGATTAGATAAGGTCTAATTCATTAAAGTTTGATTATTAATCTATGACGCACAGACACGGACACGGCGACACGGATACGACACGACACGGGACACGTCAGTTATTAAAAATATAGGACACGAACACGGATTGGACATGATATTATAGTTTTATATTTAAAAAATAGTGTATAAAAATTAAATAAGTTTAATTTTAAAAATAATTTAAAATAATAAGTCATTTAATTAGAATTTGTGCTTAAAATGATTAGTATTAGGATATCGAGAGTCAGACGTCGATGCCGTTTATTAGTCACCGAGAGAGGAGATGAAAATACCTTCAATGCCAAAAAGAAATGAAAATGAGAATATTCAATGATTGGGTATTAAGTGCGGACGTTGATTTGGTGTTGTGGATAGGAAATATAAAATTTATTTTAAATCTCGCCAAATACAAGAAATTATATTTAAAAAAATTCATAAAATATTTAAGATATGCGTGTCGGACATGCGTGCCCAGTTTGTATTTAATATTTTTTAATTGAACACGTTTTCGGCCTGTCTGACACGTGCCGGAGGAGTGTTGGGCGAGTGTTGTGTCGGATACAGTGTCAGACACTCCACGCCTCTTTGAGGAGAAGTGTCGGTGCATCATAGGTATTAGTTAATTATAATGTTTTGGCATGGTATCATTAAATTATCAGTTATTAAGTATATTAAATTATGGTTAAACTATTTATTATGTTTATTTAAGAATTAACTATAATTTTATTTAAGATCATTATGATTTAAAATATTAATTAAAATTGATTTTGATCAATTAAAGATTAATCGATAACTTATGTGTATTAAAAGTTAATTAACTAATCAGTGATTATGATAGTAACTTATATTATTTAGGGTGTGAATATATTTAATTAGGATAATTATTACTTAAATGAATTAATTACGAATTAAATACTTCATTTTCAATCATGTTTTATTTTTATTGTTTTTAAAAAATAGAAATAAATGTCTTTTTATACATGGTAAAAAAAATTCATTTGAGTTGACTACTCCTACACTATAAAATTAATTAATCTTTTAACTCAATATCGATACTTTGATTACTATCCATTTGGGTGTTATTTTAATATTTTTATATGTTTGATGCAAGATGAGATCATCATAAATTTATATGAAAATACTGAAAAGTTGCATCATACTATTGTTTTTGTGGAAGTTTAAGATATATATATATATGTTTTTTCACCTAGAGATGGGCTCATACATAATTTTTTTTTTTAGTTTTTTATTTTAATGTTTGTGCATATGCGCCTAAAAGTTCTAGCTTAAGTGTTATGCTCTTTGGCTCCTAGGCTAGAGGTCACATTTTCAGGTATTGTTTGTGACATTCTTTAAATTCAATATTCACTGGCTTCTTGTGTGAATTTTGATTGATAAATAGGCTTGTTTCTCCCCTTTCTCTATTTGTAGCTTGCATTATGGGATACTTTCAATTAATATGATATTTTTCATTGGTTTTCATCTTAATTAAAACAAAAAGAGGGAATATGTGACTGCATTGTAAGTTTGGCAAGTTTATCTTCTTGCTTATGTTTCAAGGATATTTAATGTGTAAGAATGATTGCCACGTATGAGATACTCATTGCATTGAATATACATCTTGAATATCTTCTTTAAAAAAAATTTAGGCTTTAGGTGGGATCGCCAGTGGATGGTCGTCAATTCAAATGGGCGAGCACTTACCCAAAGGGTGGAGCCAAAACTTGCTTTAGTTGAACCAGAGCTTCCACCAGATGCCTTAGATGTCAACTGGATGCCTTCAGATAGTTCATATATGGGTAAAAATATCTTACTTGTCTCTTCCTTTCAGTATTGGTTTTGTTTATGTGAGGCCTTATTAATTCATTGTTGCTTGGTTTTAATTGACCTGATTGTGATGAAGATTACTTTGTTTCTGTAGTTATTAACTGAAAACAGAAAGGGAAACATTTAGGGAAACTTTCATTCTTCAATTAGTTAATATTTCTAGTAAACATTCAGCTTTCTTGTTTAACTTTGCTAAAGTGGATACGCTATTAAATTGAATTTAGAATGACGGTTTTTTTTTGCGTGCCCGCACACTCTGTGCCTTTTAATTACTCCTACATTTTAATTCATGTTTCTATGGCTAAGGACAGGCACATTTAGTCCTACCTGCACAGTTGAAACTGATGGTATCAGCTATAATAATTTTTTTATAGAATAAAATAAACACGCATTAAAAGAATCACTTTTCACAATGTAGATCAGCACCACTCAAAATTCATCTCAAATTCTTGGTTTCATGGTCATTGGATTATTTTAGTCATTTTGCCAGGTTGTTCTTTATATCACCAAATCCATTCCACAAAATTGATCCAAATGATACACGTTTAACAAAAAATATCTAGTAAATTTTTTTTTGTAATTGTATTTATAGAAGCCTCTCTATATTTGTAGCCTTTTAGTACATTAGCATTACTACAATAATTTTTTACATTTCTTGGTCAAGATTTCAAGAATTTAGCCTGGTTTTCATGTGGTTTTCACAGATATGTCTCAGCAACTTTATTATAGGAATCCAATGGGACGACTTATATCATCAACAACAATAACAACAACATCAAGCCTTTATCCCACTACGTGGGGTCGGCTACATGAATCCTTTTTCTCCATTGTGTCCTATTAAAGGTCAAATTCTCGTTTAAATCTAATAAAGAAAGGCCATTCCTAATATTTTCTAACCAAGACTTTTTAGGTCCGCCTCTACCTTTCTTAACATAAATCAAATCTAATACCTCTACTCTCCTAACCGGGTCATTGGAAGGCCGTCGTTTTATGTGACCAAACCATCTAAGGCGACTCTCTCTAATCTTATCTTCTACTGGAGCTACTCCAACCTTTTCACGTATATGCTCATTTCGTATCCTATCTCTATGAGTAAAGCCACTCATCCACCTGAGCATCCTCATCTCTGTCACACTTAACTTAGTATTATGCTTCTCTTTTAATGGCCAACATTCAGCACCATAAAGCATTGCAGGCCTCACTACCATCTTATAGAATTTTTCCTTTAGTTTGAGGGATACTTTTCTATCACACAACAAGCCCGATACATTCCTCCACTTCAACCATCCAACTTGAATTCTGCTGATAATATCCCCATCTATTTCACCATCACTCTGAACAATAGATCCAAGATATCTAAAACGTGTACTCTTATTAATGAATTGATCGTCCAAAGTCACAATCCCCTCACTAGGTCTATTACTACTAAAATTACACTCCATATATTCCGTTTTAGATCTACTCAAGCGAAAACCTTTAGACTCTAAGGTTGACCTCCATAATTCAAGTTTACCTTCAACTCCCTCTCTAGTCTTATCAACAAGAAGAATATCATCAGCAAAAAGCATACACCAAGGTACATCCTCTTGCAAATGTCTAGTGAGAACATCCATGACTAAAGCAAAAAGATATAGGCTTAAGGCTGATCCTTGATGTAACCCAACCGAAATAGGGAAATACTTGGTCAATCCACCTTGTGTTTGAACACAAGTAATAGCTCCTGCATACATATCTTTAATGATTTGAATATAAGCATTATTAACGTCTTTCTTCTCAAGAACTCTCCATAGCACTTCTCTTGGAACTTTATCATATGCTTTTTCTAAATCAATAAATATCATATGTAGATCCTCCTTATTTTCTCTATATTTCTCCATCAAACCTCTTAATAAATGTATGGCTTCCATAGTCGACCTACCCGGCATGAATCCAAATTGATTTTGAGAAACATCAGTATCACGCCGCAGCCTATGCTCCATAACTCTTTCCCATAGTTTTAAAGTATGACACATTAACTTAATACCTCTATAATTCGCACAATCTTGTACATCACCTTTATTCTTAAAAATAGGAATTAACACACTCATTCTCCACTCATCTGGCATCTTCTTAGTCTTCAAAATAGTATTAAAAAGTTTAGTAAGCCAAGAAATCCCTTCATCTCCTAAGCATTTCCACACCTCTATTGGAATATCATCAGGTCCAACAGCTTTTCCACCCTTCATTCTATTTAAAGCCTCTCTAACTTCAGTTTTACTAATACGCCGATAAAAACAGAAATCTTTACTTTCATTTAGGGTGCTAAGGTCACTATAGTCAATCTTATTATCACACACTTCATTAAAAAGTTTAGCAAAATATCTCATCCACCTTTGTTGAATATCATCTTCTAAGAAAAGTATTTTTTGATCTTCATCCTTAATACACTTCACTTGAACTAAATCCTTACTACTCCTATCTCTTTGTTTGGCTAACTTATACATATATCTTTCTCCCTCCTTAGTATTTAATCTATTATATAAATCGCTAAAAGCTAATGTCTTTGCATCGCATATGGCTTTCTTAGCATCCTTACGAGCAACTTTATATATTTCCCAATTATCGGAATTTTTAAAATTAAACCAATTTTTATAACAAAGCTTCTTATTTTTTATCTTTTCTTGCACATTTGGATTCCACCACCAACTATTTTTACTATTAGGAGCTTTTCCCCTAGATACTCCAAGCACATCTTTTGCAATATTCTTAATATCACTAGCCACTTTTTCCCACATAATATTAGCATCCTCATGCACAGACAAAATCTTAAGATCTAAAATCTTACTCACAAAAATATTTTGGTTAATATTCTTTAAATGCCCCCATCTAATCCTAGAAAATTGTTTTACTTTATTTTTTATTTTATGCCCCTTTATCTTAAAGTCCAAAACTAATAATCGATGTTGGGTACATAAACTTTCACTCGGAATAACTTTACAATCTTTGCAATCTAAACGGTTTAATTTTCTAATAAGAAAATAGTCAATCTGGGTTGTACTATATCCATTTTTATAAGTGATGAGATGCTCATTCCTTTTCTTAAATAAGGTATTAGCAATTAAAAAAATCATAAGCTAAACAAAAATCCAATATGGTCTTGCCACCTTCATTCGTCGTTCCAAATCCATGGCCACCATGAATGCTTTTAAAATCATCTACCTCTTTACCAACATGTCCATTTAAATCTCCTCCAATAAAAACTCTTTCTTCAAGAGGTATATTTTGTATTAATTCTTCTAAGTCATTCCAAAAATTTAATTTAGAACTCATATCCAAACCTACTTGAGGAGCATAAGTACTTATAATATTAACAATCTTATCATCAACAACAATCTTTAAAGCTATAATTCTATCTCCAATCCTATTAATTTTTATAACATTATCCTTCAAACTCTTATCTATAATAACACCTACACCATTTCTAGTATGGTTGCTACACGAATACCAAAGTTTAAATCCTAAACTATCAATTTTCTTAGCCTTCTCTCCAACCCATTTAGTTTCCTGAATGCACAAAATATTTATCTTCCTATAAATCATAATATTTATTAATTCCATTAATTTTCCTGTAAGGGAACCTATATTCCAAGTTCCTATCCTAATTTTAGTTTCATGGACTAGCTTATTTGCCCACATCCATCCTTGATGTGGGAACCCTTGCCTATTTAACACTGCACCCGAGCGCCGGTGTAGCGGCCCTTGCACATTTGTCACTGTATTCAGGCCATATAGCGCGTCGCTTACAGGGGATGCCCTAACATTAACACAATTTCTTAAAGGATTCATGTCATAATTATTTGACAAGTTTTATGTTGGCTGTCAACTACCTAACGCAATCCTCCACTTTTCTCATTCAGGATTTGAGACCTGACAACGGTAGTGTTAAAAGAACAAAATAAAATCTTTATTATTTTTTCATGTAAAAGGTAAAAAGACACGTTTTTCTTACACTTTTGGTGGGTCAGAGGTTCTTAATTTCTTAAGATCTACTTCATTTTTACTTAATTCGGCCCGCACCTGTGGACGACGATGACAATAACAACATCATTAAGCCTTTATCCCACTACGTGGGTCAACTATATAAATCAATTTTCTCTATTGTGCCCTGTTAAGAGTCAATTTATCATTTAAATTTAATAAAAATGTCATATCTAATATTTTCTACCCAACTTTATTTAGGTCTACCTCTAGCTTTCTTAACATAGGTCAAATCAGACGTGGGTTTAAGGGGGTGGCCTATGGGGGCACGTGCCCCCCCCCCTTAAAAAAATTACAATTTACGTTTAGTCTATGGCGTCGTTTTACAGCCGAAAAGAGGCATGGCCTTGTTGCTCATTCTCATCTTCCTTCTCCCGCTTGGCGCGACGCTCATCCTAGACAGTTCCACTTGGTGCTCATCATCTTCCTTCTCCCATCCTCGGCTGCTCATATGAGATGTTCCCTTGATTCATTCTACTCAGTTAAGTTGATGATACAAGAAAACAGTCATTTCTAGATGATAAAATATGCAAAAAAAAAAAAGAGTCAAAATTCATTGATAAAAACTATTTTTGATAGATTTTTTATGGAATTTTGTATGCTAGAAAAATTCTCTCAAAAAAGCTAAAGAACAACCAAAAGATCCTCAATTTTTTTTCTGTTCAGATTAATAATCGGAAAGCAAAATCATAAAACAGATCCAGAATAATTAGCATTTCCTTTGTGATCTACACAAAATTATGGTTGTTATTTTGTCACTGTGAGGTGTATGAGGCCGAGAGTTCTCGGATTCTGCTCTCCCTCTCTCTTCTAATCTTCCTCTTCCCATCTCTCTCTCTCTCTCGCACACACATTCGGCGGCCGTCTTCAACTTCAATACGATAAGCAATTTTTCTTCTCCCTCTTTCGGTATTTTCTCTCTCTACTATGGTTGTCTTAAACTATTTAACATGTAACTTATTTTAATTATATATAGTTTATTTAATTTGTGATTTTCTTTGATTTTAAAAATCAAATTTGTGTTTGATGTGAATTTTGATGAAGCGAATATAATAAATTATAATTGCATGAATTATTGAAAAAAGGATCTTAATTTTTTATTCATATAAGTTAAAAAAAATTGTATTTTAATTGCTATTTAGTTTTTAAATATATTACTATATTATTGAAAATATATTTATTTTTATTTAATTAACCCAAATGCACTACATTAAAAAAAATTCATGTAATTTATATTTTATGTTAACAACATAATTTTTTTAAACTGTTGACGTTAATTAGAAGCTCGAATGAAAAATGTTAAAGTTATTTTTAAAATTTATAATTGGTGCCCCTCCAAAAAATATTTCTGGCTCTGCCACTGGGTCAAATCCAATATATCTACTCTTTAATTCAGTCCTGTGGACGGATTGACCTTATTCCTCTCCTTGTAAGACCATAAATTATGATCTGCTTGATATATTTAAGTATATAGTAATAGCTAGATGTATTAAGTTTATGGACCTTGGATCTATTACATAGAAACAACGATGGAGTGAATGAAGAGTTTTCAATAACAGAGGATTATGTTAGGCATCAATATTAAATTTGTATATTTTTTGTTAGTTATGTGGATGATTCGAAAAGAAATTCAAAGGGAGGCACATTAGTGTATGCTTTTCGCATATGATATCATTCTAATTAATGTGAAATATGCTTAAATAATTGGAACATTAGAACAATAAAAAAATCATATAGAAGGTAAAGCATTTATGATTAGTAGAACCAAAATTGCTATATGATATGCAATTTCAGTTAATGAAATGTTTATTATATGTACATATTACCATGCGTGATATGTTTAATATATTTTTAGTCTATTATACACAAGAATGAGCATATAGCTAAGGATATGAGTTATAGAGTTAGGAACGGGTGGCTAAAATAAAGAAGTGTCTCATAATAACTATGCTATAAGTTAATATGTGGACACAAATGTAACTTTTATTAAACAATAATTTGTTCAGTTATGTTGTTTTGATTTAGGTATTTGATAGTAAAGAAGTCAATGTGATGAGGACATCGTCAGCAATTTCGACATGTGTGCCATCGGAGACACCGGAGATTGACGGCCACGATCAGGAGTTTTAATTATTTTGTCATGTTATGTAGTAATTTATTTTATTTTTTTCAGTTTTTCCATTTTTACCCTTATGGGTATTTGGTCTCTATTGTAGCCCAAGGGGCATTTTAGCCTTTTGTTTCCGTTGTCATTTTGAGGCCTATATATATGGCCATTTCTTATGTAATGAACTAATGAATATTTTGAATGAAAAAAAATTATGTTTTGTTTCTACTTTTCTAGCATGAGTGCTTGAGAGGGAAGAGAGCTCAAGTGGAGCAATTCGCAAGGCCCACCAATCGTTGGAAGAGTCCTCGATTCGTGGTTAGATTTTTTTTTTATCTTCTCGCTCGTATTCATATCCCTCTCCTCCCCATCCACTATAAGAATAGCCCTCCCATCTCCACTTGCCGCCGCCCCTTGGAGGTTCACCGCCGGCCACATCCACGGTCCCGGCCGACCACCCTACCGGCGACTTCCCCTCAACCGTCCACCCCGTCTCTACCACATGCCCAAATTTGAAATTTGAATTTTGAATTTCAAATTCTTTCCTAATTTGGAATTCCAAATTTGGAAAGTTTTCATGACGGTTCCCAATTTTAATTCAATTTAAAATTGGAGTTTTCATTTACTTGTGCCACATCACTAAAATTCAAATTGGAAGCCACATCATGAAATTCCCTCTCCTCCTTCTCAGCATGCCGCCGGCCACCCAAGAAATTCCCCCACTAAATGCTATTAATGCCTTGACTGTTTTGGAATCATATTTGGATTTCAAAATTTCCCTCCCAATCCACTTAAAACTGAAATTAAAGTTCAGTTTTAATTTTAAAATCCCTCCCTCTCCCTCATTAAGCCGCCGACCACATATATGGGCCCCCCTTGATTACCCATTAATTCCCCCTTAATTACTTTTGGAAATTTGAAATCCCCTTTCAAATTATTCCCTCCATTATACTAAAATCTAAGAATTAATTCCAGATTTTAGTAAACCACTTGCCACCTCATCTAACCTAGCTCCTCTAATTTTCCACACCCGCCCATCTCTCCCACTTGGCCGAAACTTCCCCCATTCCTTGAAAATCCCGCCGGCCACCTCTCTCTCGTCCCTTGAATAGAGAAGCCAAGGAAAGGAGAAGATGACGCCACCCCTCTCCATTCAATGTTGAATGGCGGATCATGAGATCCATCTTCCACCAAGTCGTTGGATCATCATCGGACATCCGCCAACCCCGCCTACTCCGACTACTTTCCCGTGGACAAAGACTTCCGGCATCTTCTTCCTACTGTTGATCTCAATTCTAGTTGCAAAACCTTCTCTCGCCAAGCCTAGTGTAGTCGAGTGAATAATCCCCAAGGTGAAATTTCTCATTATTAAGTTGTGGTTTGTTGTTTAATAGCTTTTAGCTTTGCTACTATTTTTGTTTATCTCCGAGGATTAGTTAATTTACATGTACTCCTTCGCCTAAGCGAGTTGAAAACCAAGAATCTTTATTGAATTATCTTGTCTCGACAATAAGCTTTCAAGTGAAATTAAATTGTTTAATCCTTCTTAATTGTCTTAATGAGCTCCTACGCATGTTGGTTTCACATCATAATGACATTAAAGTTGAGTGTAAGAGAACTTGGATAGATTTTGTAGAAAAGTACAACAACAACAACAACATCAAGCCTTTATCCCACTACGTGGGGTCGGCTACATGAATTCTTTTTCTCCATTGTGTACTATTAAAAGTCAAATTCTCGTTTAAATCTAATAAAGAAAGGTCATTCCTAATATTTTCTAACCAAGTCTTTTTAGGTCTACCCCTACCTTTCTTAACACAAGTCAAATCTAATACCTCTACTCTCCTAACCGGGTCATCGGAAGGCCGCCTTTTTATGTGACCAAACCATCTAAGGCGACTCTCTCTAATCTTATCTTCTACTGGAGCTACTCCAACCTTTTCACGTATATGCTTATTTGATATTTCATATCCTATCTCTAAGGGTAAAGCCACTCATCCACCTGAGCATCCTCATCATGTAGAAAAGTATTTGTGAAAAATCAATATAATGCTTCATGCAACACTCAACAAGAATGGATGTAGGATGAGGGTTTGTAAAGAAGATTTAAAATAAATGGATAAGCTTCGTTGTGGTCTATTTTATAGCGAATGGGGTTATATGTACAAATCTTTTGTCTAAATTTATTTTATCCCATGTATCCACAAACTTGCTGACTTAGTCCAAACCATTGAAATAGTCTAGAAATATTTCATAGCTTCTCTCATTTGCCTTTATTTTCATGTCATAATATCCTTTGCAATTGGAGAGCATCTATTTTTATGGTGAGCTGATTTTTATTTGAGTGGTGTAACATTACATGTGATCATTGCCCTTGTCTAAGGCTATTTAACAATCTTCGGGCATTAAAACATGAATATTCATGACCTTTTATTTAGTTTAGAACTTGTGTATCTTTTTCTTTAAGATGTGTTTGTTTTATGCTATTTATCATATACTTCTATTTTTAGAATTATGTCTTATGAAAAGGATATTTGCATGAGTATATTCTTATGCTCCCTTAGTACAAAACATTTTGGCAACTAAATTCAACTTTTTTTTCTCTCTTACAGTATTGAGAGCCCCTGACATGGATCCATTAAAGGTTTGTCTTACTAGAGCGTGCAATGTGGTAGATGGAATATCTGTGTGGGAGTGGGTTGGCTCGGCATTGGATGTAGGAGATGAAGCTTCTAAATGGTTTACGAAGTACCTTGGAAAGCCAAGCCGTTTAGTGCGTTTTGATACTTGTATGTTGTGCTTTATTATATTTCAAAACTCCAAAAGCTTTATTATTATATGCCAACAATATGATATTTGGTTTTATGGTGTACTTTTTTGGCTTTTCTTTATAACTCAATATTTATTTGTTGCAATACAAGCTCCAAGGACAAATTAGGTATACTAAACCTATGATCTTTGTGTTTATAGTGTACTTCATGGCTTCTATTTATCCATTTCAAATCATATCGATGCTATGATTGTGGGATCTAGAAAACCTCACATTGAAAAGGAGAATGTATCACTCCGGAGGGTGGAAAAGAAACCTAGTTTTAAAGTCAATAGAAAGCTGATTGGAAATATATCTAAGAGGTCTCACTTGCGCAATATGAAGGATCAAATGTTTCCCTTGAACAATATGAAGGAATGAATATGAGTTATTTGGTTATGGGGATCAAGATTTCTCATAGGCGCAAGCTCTAATGATTAATTATTTCTCAGATGCGATACTTAATACTCTGAATTAAGAATATTCAAATATAATTTTGCTTATATTCTCTTAATCTGGTAAAGGGGATAGGGTTCATTTATAAAAGCTTTGGATGCTGAAATATTCCATTGGGAATAATGGATGTCAATAAATTAGAGTGCCATTCAAAGGAAGAATCAATGAGTCCTTGAGGCTATAAATCCATTCAAAAACCTTCCTATTCGGGCGTGCGGCTGAATCGGCGGCGTGCGTGCGTGCGGCTTCCGCCTGTTTCTCGATCTTTGGCCCGTGAACCGGTCCCGCCTGGACCGGTCTAACAGAGACACGCAATCATGGGAGCATGGTGGTCGAGGAACCTTAGAATAGGAATGTGAAGACATCTTGTTCTTAGAGGAGGCTTGTGACTCATGAAAAAGGTAAATTTGACATAAGGGCACTCCAGGTGATGACATTCTTATAGCTTCACAACAATTAAAGGGTAACTGAGTGAGCTGCACACAGGAACCAGAATAATAAACAAATGATGAGACTTATACTTTGAAGCATCGGGTGACCTTAAATCATCAATGAAGCCCATCAAGTTACAACTTGATGAGTTGTGCGAATATGTGCCGAGAACAAACCTCATCCAATAGAATGTCATCAATCATGATGCTCTTTTCAGAATCACCAAGTTGTTGAGCGCCATGATCAGCTATATCTTCATTGATAGGAGGGAGCTGGTGAACTTTCATAATGAGAGAATCAAATTTCATTTTCTTGCTTGCAGAAGATGCAAAAACTAAACCTATGGTGCTAATAAATTTAATCACAATAGTTTCAAGATCTTTAGACAAGTAAATTGGTTTTAAATTTTTAGAGCAAACTTGGTTTGATGATAGAGGAGCAACAATCATTATAGGATTAGGGAATGCCTAAACATTTGAATGTCCCTCTTGTTTTTGAACAATTGGTTGTCTCAGATCGAGATGAGCCTTGGTAAAAAATTTTACCTAAATAATAATATGGAGGATGTCTTCAAATATCATCTCTTGTCAATAACTACAAGGTTGACCCAATTCACACATTTTTTGCCTAACGATAATGTAATGTCCATTCCAAAAAAAAAACTTGTCCACAACAAGTCTCGAAGTACAAACATTAATATTATTAAAGATTTAGCAAAGATAGAACCCTAAGAGTACAAAGTGGACTAGTTGAAGAAATGCAATCATAATTAAGGAAAAGCTACCTAAGCAAGAGTGATTGGAGATTCTCCAGATGCATCAAATGGGGAGACCACTTAGCTTGTAGCTCCTTCAAATAGGTTGAATCAATCTCAAATGGGGAGCCAAAGAGCCAATGGCTAAAATCCAAATTAGGAGTTGTGGTGCTGAAAGAGAGGTCAATACTAATATATGGTATGTCTTATTTTTCCTAAGTGAAGATGCCTGTTAACAAAAAATCAGCATTGAGGTTGTTGAATCAATAAATTTCCAAGTACAATGTCATATAAGTTGATGATGATTGTTGGTGTTTTCAATGCATTGCTGGCTTATATATTATCACTTATAATATTTTTTTTATCACAACTCAATTTGTTCAACATTGATGGTGTTTCTTCCTTTTAAACGTTGTATCAGTTTACAGACTTTTTGATGTTTCACAAAATTTCAGTACATCCATATGCATCAAACATTTGTCAATCTTTTGTTATTTCGATTGAGCAATTGCAGCATTAGAAAGCAGATTTGTAGATCCCGATTATGCTCAGGGATACACAGCTATGTTCAGTGATGGGTTTCCTTATTTGGTAATATCCCAGGTTGGTCTAATGGGTTTTGGAATGCATTTAATATCTTTCCTAGATATTATTTCAACTACCATATAATCTGCTATTTCCTTCAACTCTTTGGTTGCAGGGATCTCTTGACTTATTGAATGAGCTTCTGAAGGAACCCTTACCCATCAATCGCTTCAGACCAAAGTAAGCAGGCCTAGCAAATCTTTGCTAAAACTTACATTTGGTTTTTGTAAATCTTAATAGCCATGGAAAGTCAGAATAAATTTCAGAAGGTTAGAAAAAAGGCACGTCGATAGTCAAGTTTTGACTTAGCTAAATCGAAATAAATGCCAAGAGAATCGCATAATTTGAATGAATTGCAAGAACAATTCAAAATGTTGACTTGGAAGTACATGATTGTAAGTTCACAATTTTGCTCTAATAGTGAAGATGATACACCAAGAGATTTTTTTTTTAGGGGGGTGGGGTGTTGAATTATTGATTTAAAAAATTTCTTCAAAAACCATTTTGAATAAAAAATAAAACTTAATTTCATACGGAAGCATTTGAATAAACAAAATAACACAACTCAAGCAAGTACTAATTTTTTTGTTTTTAGATTTTGTAGAAAAATAATAATAATATATTTTTATTTCTTTTTCTGACTTTTTTTTCTTTTAAATTAAATATGAACCACAATCAATCACAATAATTTTTCTATCACAACTTCAACCACAATCAAACCAGGGGCTGAAAATTAGATTGCAAGAAAATAAAATAGTGAAAGTAAATGTGTAAAAGAAAGAACACAAACTGATTTTATAGTGGCTTGGTCAACTTGGCCTATGTCCACTCCCCAAGGGTCTTCCTTCTTGGGTATCGCACTAAGTAGTGACTCTCCTTCAGCCCACAGCTAGGTGAAGAAGCCCTTCTCTCTTACCACGAGTGGAGAATGCACCTTTATATAATCTTCACACCCGAAACTCTCTCATTTCATCTCTTCGGTCTGGCGGAGTCTTCGATTCCTCCTTTCACTTCCTCGATCAGACGGCATCCCTGCATCCTCCTTTCACCTCCTTGGCCCATCGGAGTCGCTGTTTCCTCCTTTCACCTCCTCAATCTAACGAAGTCGTCGAATCCTCCTTTCACCTCCTCTGTCCGACGTAGTCGTTGACGGTCTTTGGCCTCAAAGTCTTTCGTTCACAGAACTTCTTTCAAGTGATACACCAACACAATCAGAGACCTCAAGTGCAGGTCAGCTGGAGTAATCGTGTGAAAACCCCTCTCACACTCCCTTTATTCTCTCAAGGATCTTTTCCCTATCATACAACCTCACCCTCTCTCTCCAAGCTCTCTCACAAAAGAAACAGAAACTCTTAACTGCCCAAAAGACTCTTCTAAAGTTATAACAAGAGTTTATATAAAGGGCTTAAAAAATCCAATTTTTTAATTTTGTTGTTTCTGTTTGTACGATACGATTAGTTCATTACCATTATAGATCGTCCTGTACGATTATAAATAATCTAGTACGATTCATTCAAATCAAACATCGTATCGTACAAGATGAACCAAAGTTCGTCCAGAGAGTTCTCGGGTGGTTTGTACAGTACAATTTATAATTAATATATATCTGATTTGATTATTTAATCCTCGGACTTAAATCAGAAAATATTAATTAAAGATCATACAATACGAATGGTTGAATTTTCAAATTTGTTTATTTTAAGTAAATAGGATTTGACGGTGGGATTTCTGAAATTAGCTGATCGTTCTGTAAGATGTGCTGCTCGTACAATACGATTAGTTATAAACTTATAATCAAATTTAGCTTGTTTCATTTAATTAAACATTTTAATTAATTTTTGTTTAAACCGATCGAACAATATGATATAGATCGTATAGTACGATTAACATAAAAATTAAAATATCTATTTTTCACCCCCTTTGTGTGTGCGCCCGGTTGCTAAACCAACATATACTTAATTACAGACATTGACTCAAGAAAAAATAAAATTAGATTCTTTAAAAAAAACTGACCAACACAATATTTTCTTGAGCTTTAATTATTTGACGGTGCTTTGTGTATGCTGAATTTAAGTAGTGCACTGGAAAAATATGCAATATATAAAGCAGGAAAAAATAAAATAAATATCCAATAATATTTGTAATAATCAAAACATAAGGTCGGACTCCCGAATTGCAACAATGATAAGCTGTTGTGGTTTATGACTTTCTTATGGAATTTCAATAGTATGAATAACGAATTAATCCTGAGTTTATACCTTCTTACTTAAAAAACCATTGATCATACAGTATTTTGGTTGATGGATGTGCACCATTTTCAGAGGACCTCTGGAAAGTGACAAAGTTAAACAACATAGCATTTCATGGAGTGAAGTTGTGTTCCCGCTGTAAGGTAAAACATTCTTTACATTAATATTTACAACGGAATTTTTGTTGAAGATGTAATAAATTGATGATCAAAATCTATTTCAGAGAAATGAATGCATGAGGGGTTATTCTCCAGTGCAGTTTGCGCATTGTCTAACCAAAAGATATGGTTCTCACAGCTAAAAGTTCTCTTAGAAGATAAAACATTGACATAAAAGAAGATCACTAGTTGTTGATGCAGAAGAGAGACCAATAAATGTTTCACAATGATGTATGCCTGCATAATCCATGTCATACAGATGTTTGAATTAGAACGCAATACATCTCAAACTTAATAATCAATCTGATTTTCATGTATGCCTTTGTGCATGTAGGTGCTATATATTATTGCTTTCAGTTCTGAATACTATTTTGTAGGAAAAAAATGAGCATTTGGTAATTAACCGCTTTGCAAATAGATTTCAAAGTTAAGCTTAACCTCAAAAATTTAAACTGCTTTAGTTCTCTTCATTACTAAATTAGGTGTATTCCTTAAGCTGGAATCTCTTATTAAGAGAATGGAGAGATGTTTCAAATGCATATCAGAGTATTTAACAAAAAGAATAATGCAGATATGAAGACAACGTTGATTCTCCTTTGTCTTTCCTTTGCAATTGGCTGCTTGCCATTACCACCTTCGTCGTGATTAGGACTTGTTGTGGCCTTTAGTGCTATTCTTTTGTTTCACCCTTGTGAGACTCCCCTGTTCAGTGACTCATGTGATTCTTCTACAACATTCATTCAATCTTTGCTTGGGATAGCTTTTTGTCTATTTTTTGGGGTAAAGTTTCGTGTTAGTTTAGATGAAAAAATTGCACAAAATTTTCCCTACTTCTATTGAAATATGCTTTAGAAAAGCTATTTATGGGAAAGCTAACTAGATTGTGTTTGAGAAAGTAGCTTTTAAAAAGTTTAGAAAACAAAGTAGAAAAGTACAAGCTGCACCAAACAAAGCCTTGGTGTGATTCTTTTGCAACCATTATGCTATGTCTCATGTCGCAACTAGTTTATATGGTGATGCATGTGGTATTCTCGATTGTGATTTGCGGTTTGTGGCAATTATTCTTGAGGGTACTCTTTCGTGATTTCCTTTGTTATCAGAACTTTTTTGTTTCTTATTGTAAGTGATGTCATGGCTATGATTCTTGAGTCTACTCTTCTATGACTTTCTTTGTTCTTAAAGGTAATTTAACCTGTTAAATCCCAGCCATCCCTTGACACTTGATTCCATGGTCAGGATGGGAATCCGTGGGAGGCTTACCTGAATCACGTCAATCTTTGTTAAATTTCAGTCGTCCCTCGACCCTTGATCCCACGGCCAAGATGGGGATTCGTGGGAGGCTCACCTTGATCACATTGATCTCCTTCCATATTCGGGTGGCTGATTTAGGAAGGATTATTTTAGGACAATTATGCATGATTTCATATATTTATTTGTTTATTTATTAATATATCTTGTATAGATCTATGACTAGGGATAAATTTGTATAATGAAAAAAAGGCCTTTTCTCTCTCCAATTCTCTGAATTTAACATGGTATCAGAGCCTTCATCGTCTACGAAATTCTGAAGTTCCTTTTTACTTTCATGCCTTCATTGTTGGATTTTCTTGAGAAACAAGAGGGAGACAAGAGGAAGATCGAGCATAAGAACCTGCACGTGGGGTTCATTCAGAAGAGGCAATTTGACAGAAGCAATATGTAGGCAGAAGAACCTTGCGCGTGTGCAGTTTGTCCAGGAGAGGCGATCGGGCGGGAGCGATCTGCAACAACCCTCACATGTGCATTCGTGCGTAGAGAAAAGGAGACGTGAGAGGTAGAAGTCATTTAGGCTTCAATCGTGTGCGGAAAGGAAGTTTCGACTGAGCCAAACATGAACGTCGCCGATCCACTTGTGCATGTGACCCAGAATGGGGGTGGATTGGGCCTGCTGTGGAAACCTGTTCGTGTGTTTGGATCGAGCTAAACAGGAGCTTCTATAGTTCCCTATTTTCTCAACAAGCATCGGCCTTCATTGCATTGCCAAAATTTAGAGGAATACAGGTTCCTACCACCATCCTTTAATTACTGGAATTCTGTGGAATACATTTTCGCACCCTCGACCTTCATTGCCAAAATTACGAGGAATACATATTCCCACCACCAGTCTTCATTGTTGGAATTTTGAGGAATACATGTTCCCATCATTGGCCTTCATTGTCAGAATTCTAAAGAATATTGGTCCTTGTACTTTCTTTGTGTGTCCAAGATCGAAGATAGATTGAGCGGAAGGGCTCCTTTCACGTGCAACTTCCATAGTTGGCCGAGCAAAAGCGAGAGAAGTGGAGCGCATGACCTCTTCTTGCATATTTATGGAAAGAGCTGAGAGTTCCCGCTCATGCATGGGTGTAGGACCGGGACAAGCAAATGTGCTAGACCTACACTCCTTGCGATCAGATCAGAGGGATCAAAGGTCTTGGGTGCACCTGTACGGGGTCGAACGAATAGGAGTGTTCGGGTGGAGTCAAACAACTAATTTGCATTGGGTTGAAGGCTGGCTCGATCGGACGGGAGGAGATTTGCATGCCAAGTATTGTGCCGTGCATGAGAAATATTTTTCTGCTGTTGTCCTTGAAGCTTTCCACAACCCTAAAAACATTTTTTTTTTCTGTTGTCGTGCCTTTGTTGCTGGCTTTCCCTTGTGGTTTCTATCCTATTTATAACCAATGCAACCTTTATTGCGGTCGTGCTTAATATAACCTTCATTTCTATCATTTGCCACCGCAATGTCTAAAGCTAATTTCTCCCAAAGTTTTGACCAAATGGAGGACTCTATGGTGCACCAAGAGATTTGATAACTCTATTTTTTTGGGATTGGTTGCCAAGCTGGGAATGACATATTTGTATTCCCCAACTTGAGGGAGAGTGTTAAATCTCAGCTGTCCCTTGACACTTGATCCCACGACCAGGATGAGAATTTTTGGGAGGCTCACTTGGATCACATCGATCTTTGTTAAATCCCAACTGTCCCTTGACCCTTGATCCCACGGCCAGGATGAAGATCCGTGGGAGGCTCACTTGGATCACGCCGATCTCCTTCCATATACGGGTAGCTGATTTAGGAATAATTATATTAGGGAAATTATGCATAATTCCGTATTTATTTTTTTCTTTGTTAAGATATATTGTATTAGATTTGTAAATAGGGATAATTTTGTATAATGAAAGAAAAAAAAAGCATTTTCTCTCTCTAATTCTTTGAATTTAACATAAACTTTTAGTTGTCAAGTCCTTTCTATAAATAACTTCTAGTCATTGAAAATATCATGTTAAGAAGAGTTGAATAAAAAATTCTTGCAATCCATATTTTGTTGGCATCCTCCATTCCTATTTTGAGGAGTCACCAATTCATATTCTCTGAGGATTCATCGTCAATTAGCTTTTATAGTTGTTCTTTTCATATCCTCGATCTGCATTCATTTTTCTAATATTTTCTCTTTTTTTCTCCTAAATCTCTCTCCTACAATTTTGTTGCTTACCTTGCTTCACTTCTACTTGTTGAAGCATGAGTGCCACTTACAAGACATAGAACACGCGCAATGTTCAATAATAAAGATCTCAAATATAATCAAACATATATACGCACAAACCAATTGATATGCACTGCATTAGCATGAAATATTTATATGTCGCAAAGCTTATAGTCACATAAGTTTATGAATTTTAGAATATCACTTAGAAGCTAATTTATACAACAAAGCTTGACAGTGATATCGTGATGCGCCTTGGATGTAAAAACAGTAAGAGAACAAGCAGAAAATTGTAGGAACTTGAAGATAAGTACTGATGTTTGATTAATATTTCAACAATAATAAAATATACAAGTGATATACTGTTAGAGAGTTAGATCAGCTCTGCCATAAATCCTAGACGTTACTAGGAGACTCACAAATAACAAATTGTAGTAGAAAATCAATTGCATAATGAAAATAAAATAACCTAATTACCCTTAAATAAACCATCATATTTTTCTCACAAATCTGAATTCAAATCAGACCTCTTTCTCTAAATAAAACCTTCATAATTTTCTCCCAAATCTGAATTCAAATTCGCACTCTTTCCCAAAATGAATCCTTCTGAATTCCCTCTCAAATCTGAATTCAAATCAACCCTCTTTTCTTAAATAAACATTTCCTAATTCCCTTGCAATCTAAATTCAAATCAACCTCCTTTCCCTAAATAATTCACTCCAAGTTTTAATTAAAACTTTCCTAAACAACTCCCCTTGATTCCTTCTCCTTACATAGTGAATATTAACTCTCCTGAGCTCCACAAGGGGATCCAAACTTTCCTAAAAGTTCATCATCAATTTGATGGAATCCATTGCACATTCTCAACAGACTTGTCACTTTGAACATATGGCTCGTCGAGCAAACAAATGAAAACTATATCACTCGATAGCGCATTGTCGATGATCATATATGTCAAGCATACAAGATCTATAAACATGCACAATATATCATGAACGATATATAAGGATTTCTTTGTATCATGAATACCTATATGGTAAAGATCTATCAATATGATTTATGAAAAATGATCTAAATTAATATCAGATGTACTACCAAATATACCATCAATGCTTGGTTATAAGTTATGTAACAATATAGAAAGTATGATAATCATACATAAATAAAACATCTCCTAATAGTTTTTGACATAGATGACAATTGTCAGCTAGTGTATTATATTTATACATAGATAAATACTAACAACTTACATTTGTCCTACAAAAATGACTCAAGAATAACACACCTGACAAAGTTGATACCTTCATTTTTTAATAGGTAAGAGTCACCCGCATCAGTAAGTTGGGCTTGAGTCCAAGGTCTCCAAATCCTCCATCAGTTCCCCCTTAGACAAGCTTTTCAAAACTATTACGTATCTTGCTGCAAGAGCTCTCTCAAATCGCGTGAATGTAAAACTTGCTGAACCATGATAAACTATAGTTAAAACCTATGGTAGCCATAGGTCGCATGAACCATTCGATCCTAACTTAATCATTGTCTTTAATATCACTTCTTAGAGAGAACCAAAGGGGAATCAAAATTGGGTCAGATATATCAGTGATTAAACATAGTTTCATCATAAAAGCTTAAGCACATGGATGAGGGTTAATCATTTGGTTTTTCTACACCAATATTGTTTTCATTTATTTCATGTGAGACGAAGGTTTCGTTTGGGATGGCTTTCTTATTGCTTCTCAAAGAAACGTTTAAGTACAAAAATTTTTCTTTTTGCACTAGAAAGTTGTTTTAAGAAGCAACAAAAAATTTGTCCTAAACGAAACTTAAATTCAAACCTCAAAATCATGAAATTGGTGAGTATTCTGCCATGGTGGTAGTTTCATGATCATGCTTACTCTAGCCGGCCACCCCGGGTCAACAAAAAGTTCCTTTTTTATTGACTTATTTTAAAATCACCATCTTTTTGGCTGAAAATTGTATCACCATTCTCTCAAACCAAGGAGCCAATAAAATTAGCTTATTTGCCTTTGTCAAACCCCAGTTCCCCTCCATTTTTTTTGTTAACTTATCCTTCCCTTTTTCCGGATTAAAGTTTTGTTTGGGACAATTTTCTTATTGATTCTTAATGCAAATTTTTTTTACTAAAAATTTATTTTTTGTACTTAAAAATTGCTTTAAGAATCAGTTAGAAAGCCGTCCCAAACGAAGCCTAAGCCTTATGGACAGCTCCACAGCTCCATATTTCCGCTGTTCTATAATGCTAACAGAACCAATTAATCAATTGAAGGTTGGTTCATGCTGCAGAGTAGATGCTGTTTCTAGACATCAAACATACAAAATGTTCTCCCAATTAACAATTTTTATGCTTGCAATTTTTTTTCCCGTCGCTGTAACCAACAACTCTTCTTCTGTCCTCCGGTAGAAGTTCTTACTCTTTCTTTTTCAGGTGCCTACCATAAATCAAGAATCTGGAATTGCAGGCACTGAACCCACTGAAACTCTGATGAAGTTCAGGACGGACAAAGCTCTGAAAAGAGAAAAAATAAACAAAGCAAAGGTGAACGTTATTTTCAATAAAATTTATGTGATCTCTACTGTTTTATTTTGAGGTTTCATAATTACCACTGATCGTTTGTTGATTTGGCTTTGCTTCTCTCATATTTTTCATTTGAAATGTTTTCAGGTGTATTTCGGAATGAATTTTGTGTGTGCGGAGAGCCTTTCAGCATCAACAATGAAGGGGAAGGTTGTCAAGATTGGAGATCCGATCCATGTACTCCAAAGGTACGCTTCCCATGCTGATGCTGCAGCTTGAAGGTTAATAAGGTGCTTTGACTGGAGCTTCAAATTAAGAAACTTTAGCTTTTTAGTATTACAATGAAAATAATGATCATGCGTTTGAGCTTCTGTAGACTCTAGTACTGTCTCTTAATTTCCTGTAATTTCACTTGAATGAAAGAAATTTTTTTTCATCAGCAGTATAAGCAGCAATATAAGAATTTGTTTTTATGGGGAATTTTGGCTTTAATTTTGTATAAAAACTGTGTTTGGTGTTGAGTATAGTTTAGTTATTAGATATTTTAAACAAGCAATGTAATTTTAGTAATAATAGTTCTTGTGGGTGATTATGATTTTGAGCAATCAAGTCCTTAATAAGAGTACACATTTTAGATATCTTGAGGCTATTGTTCAGAGTGATGGTAAAATAGATGGGGATATTATTAGCATAATTCAAGTTGGATGGTTGAAGTGGAGGAATGCTTCGAGCTTGTTGATCTAGTCATTAATAAGAGTACACATTTTAGATATCTTGAGCCTATTGTTTAGAGTGATGGTGAAACAGATAGGGATATTATTAGCAGATTTCAAGTTGGATGGTTGAAGTGGATGAATGCTTTGTCCTTGTTGTGTGATAGAAAAGCCCTCCTCAAATTTAAGGAAAAATTCTATAAGATGGTGGTTAAACCTGCAATACTTTATGGTGCAGAATGCTGGTCATTAAAAGATAAGCATAATATTAAGTTAAGTATTGCAGAGATGATGATACTTAGGTGGATGAGTGGCTTTACTCTTAGAGACAAGATACGAAATAAGCATATACATGAAAAGGTTGGAGTAGCTCCAGTGGAAGATAAGATTAGAGAGAGTCGTCTTAGATGGTTTGATCATATAAAATAACGGCCTTCCGATGACCTGGTTAGGAAATAAGTGTATTCGATTTGACTTATGTTAAGAAATGTAGAGATAGACCTAAAAAGACTTGGTTAAAAAATATTAGAAATAACATTTCTTTATTAGATTTAAATGAGAATTTAACTCTTGATAGGACACAATGGAGAAAAAAGATATTATGTAGCCGACCCCATAGTGGGATAATGGCTTGATGTTCTTGTTGTATATTTTAAACATGCAATGTTGCTGCTGTTGCAGAAGAATGGCATGCTTTTAATTTTTAGGATTGGGTTTCGTTTGAGATGACTTTCTTACTACTTAAAGTAGCGCAAAAAAAAATTATTTTTTTTACTAAAAATTACTTCAAGAATCAGTGATAAAGTTGTCTCAAATGAAGCTTTTATTATGCTTTATCGGATAAATAATGTCACATATATTTAGTACCAATATATATATATATATATATATCGTACCTGAGAGCCGCACGACGCAAGAAGTCGACCGCGCGTCGTTCGCACGTCTTCGACATTCCTCCCACGTTCACCTATCTGTTGTGTTAAGTATCAAAGAAATGAGAGAACTGCTCTCTCTGGCTCTCTCAATCGCTCCTCCCGCAATCCCGATCTCGCTCTCTCTCCCTCTCACGCGCTTCTTCCGCTCCTTAGTGCTGTTCAGCTTCGTTCTTCGACGACTTTCCATCCAGTCAGATCGGTGGTTCGACATTTTGATCGGAAGCAGGAATGGGAGTCGCTCGCAGTGAAGGAAACTTCCTCCCTTTCGTGCCTCCTTCGTGGCACGTGACGTCACTCCTTCCACGACTTTCCCTCCCGTCGGATCGAAGGTTCCGACATTTTGATCGGAAGTAAGGGGCGGAGTCCGCTCCCTGTGAAGTTAACTTTCATCCCTTTCGAGCCCTTCTCCGGTTCCTCCGACGCTGGTCGACTTCGCTGTTTGATCGGAAGCAACAACAGGGGCTCGCCGTCTATGAAGGTAACCTTCCGCACGCTACTCCGGCCAATTCCCCTCAATCCGCCGTGCCAAAAAAAAAAGAAAAAAATGTATATATATAATAAATATTTAATTATAATTACTTTTAATTAATTCTAAATAATTTAATTATTATTTTTAATTAATTACTATAATGAATTTTAATTAATTTTAATTAAATTATTATAATTAATCTAATTAATTATAATTACTTTAATTAGAATTAATTTTAATTAATTATGATTTATAAATTAATTATTATTAATTAATTTTAATTAATTATAATTTATTAAAATTAATTAATATTAATTAGTTATAATTAATTATAACTAATGATTTTAATTAATTTTAATAAACTTTAATTAATTAGTATAATTAATTATAAGTAATTACAACAACAACAACAACAACAACACCAAGCATTTATCCCACTACATGGGAGCTCCAAAACATAAATTTTATATATATATATATATATATATATAGTTAAGCCAATTAAGACAGATTAACATACACGTCACATGCACAAAATTTGAACTCAAAACTTTTTAGTTAATAGTCTTAGCTCTAGGAACAATTATTATGTCAGGTGACCTGACGTAGCTCTACGTTTGGACGTCAATAACATGTCGCCACATGGTCTTACTCAATACCACACAGCCCGACGACTTGACCCGGGATTGCTATGTTCGCGTATTGCTAGGTATTGCTCGATATTGTTAGGTATTCATTGGCAATAATGAAAAATATCGTTATGTGAAGACCAATACCGAGCAATAATGAGAAATACCAAACAGTACCGAGTTACTGCTCGATATTTCTCGGTATTGCTAGGTATTGGTCTTCACAGAATGGTATTTCTCGTTATTGCCGAGCAAAATCGACTAATACCGAGCAAGTACCGAGCAAATACCGAGCAATACCTAGCAACACACGAATATATCAATCCTGTCTCCGTTCTGGGTGGGGTTGTAAATAGTGAGAACACATGACACTATTTTATTGGCATCCGAACGTAGAGCTACGACAGATGACGGGATCAAATAAAAATTCTAGCTATTGACCAACAGATCAAAATGAGCTGTGTGCATACATACAAAATATTTGATAAACAATATTCACATCTAATAAATGGTAATTAAACTCTCAAAACATTTCAACCAAGCAGCCATTACAAGAAGAAAATCGCTGCGAGTAGCGAGCAAACTGCAAGGCTTCCTTTCGTTTCATTCCACTGCATCTCCCGCGCCAAACCTCCGCTTCCTGCGACCACTCATGGCTTCGTCTTCGCCGGATCTACTCTTCGGCCTCCGCAATAACTTCCACATTGGTGCTTACCAGGCGGCGATCAATAATAGCGACGTTCCTAACCTCTCTACGGATGAAGCCATAGAGCGTGACTCCCTCGTCTACCGCTCCTACATCGCCCTTGGCTCCCACCAGGTTCCACACGTCTCCCGATCCTGCATCGCCTGATCGTTTTTAATTATTTTAATGCCTTCAAAATTGTTCTTATCCTTCTGTGCAGCTGGTGATCGATGAGGTCGATTCTTCCGCGCCGACCGCGCTTCAAGCAGTCAAGCTGCTCGCCATCTATCTATCTGGAAACAAGGTGCGTGGGTTCGCTATTTTCTAATCTATATGATTTTATATTAGATCGTTGATAAGTATGCCCAGATCTGGAACTTTGAAACCCTAGTGGTCGAAGATTTTTTTTTTTTTTTGTTACATTTTGATTGTACGTTGTGGGGTATGAGTAGCCTATTGAGCAATCAGAATTTTCTTTTCAAAATGATTTTAATCTTAAGCTATATTGTGCGTGCTTTTGAAGTTGAATTGCGACAGCTGAAAACGGATCTGCGGAAAAAACTTGTGTGTGACAGTGTGAGATGATAGTTTTTACTTTATAGTGTAGAATAAGAATTCGTATATTTAATTGACAATGCGGGAAAGCTTGTGGTTAATTTGTGATCTTAGAATTCGTATATTTAATTAACCTATTGACTATTGCATTCAGGTTGTTCTTCAGAAAGTTGAGGTATATGTGCATGTCAACATAAATCATAGGATTTCTTTAATTTTTCTTAGAGATAATTACTAAATAGGTGTGGGAGGCAATAGGTTAGATTTTTCCTACGCGAAATTTCAGAATTTTAAATGAAAGACTACAAAATTAATGGACACAATGAGAATAAAATATTAGATGCTAACGAAATGTAAAAGAGAAAAATCTAATTGGGAAGGTTAAAAGCATGATAATTATGTTGGCAAAGTTATAAATGGAATGAGGAAGGGCTATGAGTGGATATATCGTTGAAAGATAATTTGTTGAGAAAATTTGGAGTGTTGACATGATAATATCCATCAAGCTTATTATTGGTTTGGAGATTATAAATGTTATTACCACTTTTTCTCCTCAAGTTGAGTTAGAAAATTGGCAATCAATTTTGAGAAGAGATGTATGCTTGAAGAGAAACAAATAGATATCGGTTGTGAGTTTAATAGACTTATAAGATGGTGGGTTTTGAGAAATTGTTTGTTTATTTCCATTTTGATATGTAGATTATTGTTTTAGGTGTAACTCTCAATATAGAAGCCTCCACCCCATACCTAGAATTTTTGGAAGCCTCATTCATTGGTATCCTTTTTTTTTTAAACTTAACTTGACTAGTGGTGTAGGTTGATGTGCTGTGAGAGAATTCATGGTGACTATGGGCTTTGAGATGTAAATGTGATATGGGAAGCTGTCCAAGTGTCATATAATCTTGTAGCAGAAAATACATATTTTAACAACTATGAAGAGTACTTTGTTACGCTCAAAAGTGGAGTCATAGAATCAAAAATTGATTTTTATTTGTCTTATGAAGAACGTAAAATATTTTTGTAGAAATTATAAGGTGATTCAGGAGAAGGTTGGCTGCACAATATGAACTAATAGTTATGAATGTATATATTTGAATTAGAGCATAAAAAGAAGCAAGGAAGCTAAATGGCTTGCTGAAGTGTACTAAATAAAGCTGAAGTTACTCATGATATATATATATATATATATATATATATATATATATACTAAGATTGCAGAAGATTGCAGAAAATGAGTTACAAAAAATAACAATGACAATTTATATTTTCTAGAGATCTTTGTTAAATTAGATATTTTGAAATGAAGATAGTGAGATCTTAGTCAAAGATGGAGACATCAAGAAAAATGCTATTCTAATTATCAAATGATAATTTTATGTATGACTGCTTATTAATTTTAGGAGTATAATGATATAATCATAAAGCATATTATAGATCGATCTAAAAAACTGAAATTGTATATGCTCTAAAGAACCAAAAAAAAATGCATGAAGGTAAAACTTTAGGTTGACATGTGATATCTATTGAGATTTGGAGAGCCACGTGAGATATTGAAATATTTTGATTAATAGTTTTTCAATTAATTTTGACGATTTTGATGATGTCAAATAATTTATGAAGACACATTATGGTACTAGTATAATAAAGAAGATATTCATGATTATGATAATCATAGGTGAATTAAGCTAATGGAGAATGATGAAGTTGTGGGAGAGAGTTATGGTATGTTTAAAAAAATCACTTTGGTATCAGAGAATCAATTTGAGTTTATGTCTGGAAGTTCCATTAAAAGGCCTTTTTTTTTTTTTTGCTAAGGAAATTAGTGAAAAAAAATGAGGGAAAAATTGTTTTTCATATTGTTTTTTAGGATTGTATATGATTAAATATTGCAAGAATGGTTTCGGTTTGCATGAAAGAAGGTGTTGTATGTCAAAGATGTGTTGAAGGTAAAGACATATATGATGGAACCATTGAGTAAATGATTCTATTAAACTTAGTTGTGGAGTGATGAAAGAGTTCCCCTTCAATAGGATAAAATGAAGGATTAACATGAGCTTTTTTTTTTAATTATTTGTGGATATGCTTGCGAATGATATTTAAAGTGAGGCACTTTGGTGTATGTTATTAACAAATAACATAATTCTAATAGGTGAGAGATTTATTGAACTATGTTGAAATTGGAATAATGAAGGAGATTTTAGAAGACAAATACTTAAGATTGGTAGAGCAAATATTGAATATATTATTTGTAATTTTAATGGACATGAAATTCATAATTACCCAATATTTCTGAAAAATCAAAATTTGCAAGTGCAATATGTTTACATATCTTGAATAAGAGGATATAACTTTTAGATTTAAATTTTATTTGTGCAAATAGGAATGTGCCTTTACACGTTATATGGATTGGAGTGTTGGATAATGAAGAATTCATTGATAGCCAAGTTGAGTAGACTAGAAATGTTTGTGGGAAATTTTTGTATGATAAAAATTTGGAAGATTGAATTGAAGAATGATTATACTCGAGGTATGTAGGAGTTATGCTTACTAAAAATATTTTAACGAAAATTAAACTTGTAGTTTGGGCACATATAATGGACAATAGAGATGCTTCAATAAGATAAGAAGATAAAATTTAATGATAAAAAACAAAATGGGGTATATCAAAGATAATGTCAAGTTGTGCAGAAAGATATGCAGAATTGAATTAGAGCCTTAAAGAACGAGCCTTAAAGAACACTCAACAAGATGAATGAAAAATGAGGATTCACAAAGTTGCAATAGTTTTGATAAGGTAGATGATGATGATTGTGATTGAGGTTAGGTTGTTTACAATTCGGTTTACAACTTTTTATAAGCAAACTTCTTGTTCAGTTAAGTTTGAAAATCTTCCTTAAATGTCTTGAAGTTTTCTTATGTTCTACTGTTGTCCCTCGAATGTAATTTCATTAGTACTAATTTATTAAGTCCTATCATGTGGTGTCTTATGTGACTACATCCTTGTTAGTTTAGTAAATATGAACCAAAGCAGCCTTATAGATTCTTATATATGGATCCCTATGAATTCCTTTTGGCCTTTGTTTGATTATTGGTTTCCTGCTAACCTTTATATGTTTTATCGTTGATGGGGTAATAGAGCAGCTAAAAGGTGAATGAGTGTGTTGATGTAGGGGGCATGGGCATCAATTGTTTGAGAGGGTGGGGAGACAGGCAATTTTAGGTGATTGTATGGAACTACAAGTAGTTTTGATTATTTATTATTATCTATTTGGAAGGGTTAGAACTTTAGACCTCCATTTTAAAGATACCAACTCAACCAAATAGGTGATGGTGTTTTGGTCCTTTTACCTTGGTAAAAGCAAAGTTGTTCGTAGGGACTTACAAACTAACAAGATAAGTTAAAAATTTTTGAAGCAAAGTATACGGTGCTTTAATCGCCAATGACTTCTAAGTTTTTGATAATTACTTCAATTATACTGGCATGTGATGATTCCTGTTGATCCCTTTGTGATCTTTTGTATATAATTTCTAAAGTTGGATAGGCATGAGGTGATTTCAATGAATCTCTTTGGAGTCAATTATTATACCTGGCTTTTTAAATTTAAATTTTGATGAGAGAATTCCTATTAATTACTTCAATTATGTTTTAAGCAACGCTTCACCAATTCATGTGCATTATGTCAATGGCGATCTAGTTCAGCAACATGATTGAATGTATGAGATTTAATGTTGCTTGGATGATATCAATTAAATATTTATCGGTTGACATCCATATTTATCACACAAAATTCTTAAACTTTCAAAACCTAGAATTCCATTGTGTTCTTTCCAGAAACTTCTCATGTTCCATATCATTCCTCGTTCTCATGGAAGATACTATTAGGTTATAAAATTCAGCAATAAAGAGAAGTAGCATGGCTGCTTGGCTCTTGGCATCCATACAAAATGACCTTGTCACGACATCTAATATTCTTCATAAGTGTATGCTTCTTCTTTACCACTTTTATTCTACTTTCTTTCTTACTACATATTTTTATTGATGCAGAAAGTCCTACGAACAATATTGTTAGTAAATAAGATTTTCTGTTTCTTCACATTCTCTTGTTCTACACTCTTATTTATAAAAACTTTCTGATAATCAATTTTTTTTGTTTTAAAGGAATCTGCAATTTCAAGTCTGTGGGAGTGGCTAAGTGATGCGGCGATAGGAAACAATCCAGTTCTTCGCCTTGTTGCTGGGATCATATACATGCATGAACAAGACTATAATGAGGCTCTTAAGCATACAAATGCAGGAGGAACAATGGAGTTGTAAGTGTTGTTACCTTATGCGTACAAGTTGAATTTTTTTTTTATTCTTTTAATTTTAGGCCTACTTAGGTATGCCTAAATTTTCACTATTGCTTCTTGGTTGATATATGATACCTTTTTTAACACTAGAAGTTAGCAGTCCAAACTACCTTTTCGAGCCAATTTTTTTTTTCCTTTTGATATAAATGTTCATGTGATACAAGCATCCCACGTATTAGCTCTATTTATTGAAAATTTTTCCTCTTTGCTTGGATGATGCAAAGTTTATCAATGATATTATTTGGCTTACTACAATGAGATATGAAAGTTTTGACCTCGTTCTATGAATATAGAGTGATTTTAGGCGGATCTTTAGGAGACTGATTCAATGGTAGATAAGGCATTACCTAAAAATTTTATTCTGATGTAGTTTTTGCATTTTTGGTTTGGCACTTTTATGAATGCAAGGCTCCATGGTTAATTTCCAATCTTGTTTGTGAAACATACCTTTCAATTAAGACTAATCTAAAGGCTTTTCAATATTTTGTGTGATGAATTCCTTTTGTTCTAACCAACTACACCTTGGATTTGAGGAGAGGAAGTCACTATCGACTTAAACTGGATGATTACAATAACAACAACAACATCAAGCCTTTATCCCACTCCGTAGGATCGGCTTCATGAATCATTTTTCTTCATTGTATTTTGTTAACACAGCCGTTTTCAGATCCCAAGTCCTGGATGAAAAAAGTGGAGAATTGTGTTAGGTAGTCGACAACCAACATAAAAGTTGTCGAATAATCATGACTTGAATCCTTTAAACTGGAGATATAACAAAAAAAAACTTAGATCAAGATTTTATGTTCTATTATCTAGGTTGTCATTGATCTTGATATATGTAATTATATTTAATTGACCCAACTTAACCGGAAAATTCTTATCTAGTATCTTGGGTGGCTTCATTCAAGGAGACCTTGTAGAGTTGAGGGAAAGGTTGTCGAAGGAGCCAAGCCAAGCCTACCTTGGGGTTTTATTTCCTATTGAGAATAAACATCATATGGCTAACAACTCATACACTTAGTTATTAGGGAACATTTAAGCTTGGCTCTTTATTTGAATTTTGGTTCAGTAGCAACGTTTCAGCTCTGTCCACCATGTTTTGCATGTTCTTCCTGGTATTTTATTTTTGTATTTGATCATAATGGACACATTTGATATCGTGTTGGCTCCTTTGTATGCTTTAAATGAACTTGAATTGGCAAATTAGTGTGGATGGTGGGAAAAGAGATTCATCTCTATTAGAAAGTTCTGAATCCGAGAAGTTGGAACACACAAACGACTAGGGAAAGATCAATTTCTCAAAAACCATGCTCTGCAAGTCATCTTTAAATGACCGCAACTCTTGCTCTGCACATAATCTTTTTTTACTACTGGAACTACAAAACACAGTGCCTCTACATTTTAATTGAATGACTTGATTGCAGGCTTGCATTAAATGTTCAAATCTATATCAAGATGCACCGGTCAGACTATGCGGAGAAACAACTAAAGCTCATGCAGCAAATTGATGAAGACCATACACTAACACAACTGGCTAGTGCGTGGTTTAACCTCGCAGTTGTTAGTATTGATTTCTGTTCTTTCTATAGCTGAATGTTTGATGGTTTCTTGTCACTGATTCTTTTATGCTTTGTGCCAGGGTGGTTCAAAAATTCAGGAAGCATATCTTATCTACCAAGATTTTTCTGAGAAGTATCAGATGACTGGGATGATTCTTAATGGAAAGGCTGTATGTTGCATGCATATGGGACGGTTTGATGAAGCTGAAACCCTGTTGCTTGAAGCACTAAACAAGGTCAGCCATTATAACTTTTGCTGTGTTTGGTTTTTTATAGGGCGTTATAGTTGCTTTTACATGAGAAGGTTATACTACTATTAATGGAAGAAGCATGGTTTCTATGGTTTGTAAAGGATGCAAAAGATGCGGAGACTCTTGCCAACCTTGTTGTATGCAGTCTTCATGTAGGCAAATCTGCATCACGGTACCTTAGGTAAGTGACCAGAAACAACATGATAAGCTGCAATTTCATTTCTCTGCATTGTTCATGGGTTCATTGCAATTTTTTTCTCCCCAGTGATACAGGTTTATTACTGTCATTAGAGTTGGGTGAGAAACTGAATTTTCTGTTTTTTTGTTTTTTTTTTTCTCGCATTACCTGCAGTTCTATAAAGAGCTCCTTTCTGTTGCCTATGAAATATAATTGTAAAAAAGCTGACGAGCTTTTCAAACCCAAATAGCACCTTATATGCTACAGAAAAGTATCCCGGTAGCTAAACCAAATGAGTCCATAGATTGATCTTTGGTTCTCAAATTCCATTGACACATACGAAACACGGATATGGACACGAGATGACAAGGACATGGTAATACGGCATAATTGCAAAAAATAGGATACAATATGTTGTGGACGCATCATTATGTTTAATAAATTATTAATATGCAATAAATAATTTATACTATTCCCTGCTATATCTATCACAAGATGAAGTATGCTTATAAGTAATACATAGATTCATAAGTTTTTATGTTGTTTAATAAAACTCTAGAGAAGTACAACACAAGCAAAATACTCTTCAACATATTAGTATCCTTATAAGTGATACATACAACAACAACATCTAGCCTTTATCCCACTATGTGGGGTCGGCTACGTGAATCCTTTTTCTCCATTGTGTCCGGTTAAGAATCAAATTCTCATTTAGATCTAATAAAGAAAGGTCATTTCTAATATTTTCTAACCAATTCTTTTTAGGTCTACGGTCTACCTCTACCTTTCTTCTAATACTTCTACTCTCCTAACCGAGTCATCGGAAGGCTGTCGTTTTATGTGACCAAACCATCTAAGGCAACTCTCTCTATTCTTATCTGCCTTTTCACGTATATGCTCATTTTGTATCCTGTCTCTAAGAGTAAAGCCACTCATCCACCTGAGCATCCTCATCTCTGCAACACTTAACTTAATATTATGCTTCTCTTTTAATGGTCAACATTTTGCGCCATAAAGCATTGTAGGTCTAACCACCATCTTATAAAATTTTTTCTTAAGTTTGCGTGGTACTTTTCTATCACACAAGTAGTTTGATGCATTCCTTCACTTCATCCATCCAACTTAAAATCTACTAATAATATCCTCATAAGTGATACATAGATTCATAAAATTTGAACAATGTTGTTATGAAAATCTTATGAGATTCACAACTAAAGATACAATAAATGATGTTTTAAATTACAATGAATTACTTTTATCAGTCAAAATAAAAACAGTAATGCCCAGAATATATTTACCTATTCTAAATGATGGCAAGTTTAAGAATAATCAGTTATTCTTACACCATAATGAATCTGCATATTTAAGACTATTATAAATTCAAAATCAAGTTATTTTGAAGGGTATAAAGTCAAAACTATTTAAATTTTTGAAAAAATGATAGAAAATAATGTTATCTACCACTTAAAATTTACATGTTTAAAATATTAAAATAAATAACGTACATGATTAAATTTGAAAACAAATAATGTATGTTTATAAATTCAAGACTATTGAAAATTGAAAACAAATAATGTACATGTTAAACTTTTAACAAACATGAATTAAATCATTCAGGATATAAATAGTTCAAAACTTAGAAATTATGGGTGAGATGGGCTAAGGAGAGATGAAATGAACCGGTGATATGACAAGTGGGCAAACTGACATGGATTTCAAGACCGGTGACATGGATATAGTAGAGTCAACTTCAACGGCTAGATTGGCACAACACTACTTCGATGAAGAGAAGCAAGATGGTGAGGTAGCTTCGATGAAGAGGAGCTGCAAAATGGCGATCGTCTTTGATGAAGAGGGGAGGCAGGAGTGCGAGACCATTAGGGCTAAGGATGTTCACGCGAATTAGACTTTTTTTTTAGTTTTGCTCTTCTCTGTATTAACTCCTATCAGCACGTATTCTCAACTGTGTCCCCCGCCGTGTCTAGTTCATTTTGAAGTTCAATTTCATAATTAGAAACCCAAGACATGATTTTTGTGGTGTCAAAATACATGTTGGGGCATGCTAGAGCTTTTTCCGTATCTGACACATGTTTGACACAGACATGCGAGGCGTTTGGGAGTGCCTGTGCTTCCTAAACAGACACTGAAACTAGTGAGCTAATAGGCTCTTGTCTATGCTCTATGATGTCAAACGCAATTATATAGCTTGACATGCAAGTTGGAAATACAGTTTGTCAGCTTTATAACTTCCTTTGCAGATGTGCTCCAGGATTTTTTAAAATAATCGTTAGTTCACAAAAGCCCTTGTTTTCTTTGGCATTTATTTTATAAAAGATTTCTGTTTTTCCTGCTTATCTTATTTCTGGTTTTAATTGATTACTCAAGAATTGACTATGAGCATGTTTCTGCTTGGCCAAATAACTTGATGTGAAGATTGCTGAGACCTCTATATCTCATCCTAGTTTGAGTTATCATCCTTGTCCTTAATTAATGAACCCGTCAACTCCTTATACAATTTAGGGGAATTTTGGTTCTTTTTAAACAAAATTCATTCATTTTGATAAAATAAAAAACTTATGGTTGGATGTCTTTACCTATTTTCCCTAGGACTCTTCTAAAATTTTGGCACGTATAGCATTAGTCAAAATATTTTGAAAAAAAAAAATAGTTGTGTTTGTGATTTTTACTTCACTGTTGTGAGCGCCGCATTTTTAATAATTATTTTCAAAATTTATTATTTTCTTTTAAAAACTTTAAATGTTTCAAATTTTAATTTAGTATTTTATATCAAAATTTGAAATTTATGGGCTCATTTGTCTTCAAAATAACAACATCAAGCTTTTATCCTACTAAATGGGGTCAGCTATATAAATATTTTTTTTTCTATTATGTCATGTTAATAATAAAATTTTTATTTAAATGTAATAAAAATAAACTATTACTAATACTTTTCGATGAAGTATGTTTAGGTGTATCTCTACCTTTATTAACATGGGCCGGATCTAATACATCTACTCCCCTAACTGGGTCATCGGAAGGCTATGATTTTTAAAGTTAATATTATGTTTAATACATGATTTTAAAAGTTAATATTATTTTTAAAATAATGCTGAATATCTTCATTTTTCTCATGCATAATCTTGATTAGATTTGAATTAATCGACTTGGATTTTAAATGGCAGGTGCCATGACTTAAAGGGTTCCTAATGAAAATGTATAGAGGAATCCTGAGACAAAATTTGTCCCAATTTAACTTCATCCTGTCATTTGTGCGAGTCGATTGTCTTACTTAGGGAGTTTGCCTGTGCACAGAGATTCTAATTTATGGAGCGTGGGTTCTAAGAACGTTAATGTTTCGTTTGGGATAGTTTTCTTATTGCTTTTTAAAACAATTTTCTATTATAAAAATTTTAATTTTGTGCTAGAAAGTTACTGCAAGAAGTAGTGAGAAAGACGTCCCAAATGAAGCTTAACTCACTTTCTACCGGCTGAACACTAGATTATTTGGCCTTGCTAGCAAACTCCTATTATTTGACAGTCCAATTAATTCTCTAACCATTTGTTCTTTACCTTTATTTGCCATTCTTGATTCAGCCATTTATTGACGCGTTTACATGCTATGCTAGGCCATCAAGTTCTAGTTATTAAGATACGTGGATTTTTACCCTGTTCTTGTGTTGTTTCATATAAATGATATATGGCGTACTGTAGATTTTCTGGCGGAGTTTGTAGCCGAAGTAATATTAGTGTGCGTTAGCTACAATTGAAACGTAGCGCAGTGTTTTCCCCCTTTTCCCCTTTTAAATGTCTTTGAACATTTTTCTCATATTGTAACCTGTTATTATATCCTCTTTCAACACTCAAATCTTGTACTTTGCAGCTCTATGAAGAAGCCTAGAGTGTTGTTATATAATATTCTGCAGCACCGATGAGGAAGAGTAACTTCTACTAGTTTAAAGATGAATTATTCTGTGCGGACGCCGATCGCCATCCATAATCTAATGAAAATGCGTCACATCACCCTTACTCAATACCGCGGCTCGATACTGCTCGGTATTGAGCTTGGTACTGGATGATGTGGCTGCACCTGATTGGCCTCTGGACGGTAAGCTATGTCCGCACAGAATAATCTCTAGTTTAAGAGGCAATGGTCCCCGGTCCCCCATTCTTTTAATGTCGTTAAAGCTGGTGGTTGTAGAAGTTCAAGATGTTGTTTCTTGAACCGTAACAGAGAGAGAGAGGGAAAGAAGTATGAGAAGAGAGAATAGAGAACAGAATTTCAGAAATATGAAAGTATTTTTCATTATTATATTAACACAGTACAAGAGTCTATATATAGATTTACAGAGGAGAGTTGTATATATGGCAATACAGAAAATACAAATAGATATTTTAATCCTGTTGCTCTAATAGTGGTGATGGAAATGGAATGCTGTCTTTTAGGCCCTTCAGTTGCTTCACTTCCCATTCATTCAAATTCTTCCTTAGTTTTTCGTACTGAAATGAAAACTACTAATTTCTTGCTTCTTTGCGTTTCTTCAGCCAGCTGAAGCTCACACATCCAGATCACGTTCTTATCAAACGTGTTTCCTCCGCAGAGGATAGTTTTGATAGGGCTGTTCAGTCAATCGCTTAGAAATTTCAAATTTGGAGCTATCAAATAAGGTCAACTACTCTCATTTTTCTTCTTTAGAAATTCAATCTGTTCGGTTTAATATTTTTGTTGCTGCTTCATATAGATCAAAAACTTGCATAAAACGCTGAGATTTTCTTTCCTTCCAGACTTCTGTGCTTGATCTTATTAATGGATACATAAAAGCTGGAGCCAACTGTGTTAGTATAGCTGAAATTTTTTTTCATAAGCTTGAGACCATGGAATAGGCAGATTTGTATTGGAAAAACAATTTATAAGGATATTTTGATGAAAAAAAAATTGTTGAATTAGATTTCAAAATTATTAAATTGAACAAGATCAGTACTATATATACAACTGTGTTAGTATAGCTGAAATTTTTTTTCATAAGCTTGAGACCATGGAATAGGCAGATTTGTATTGGAAAAACAATTTATAAGGATATTTTGATTTAAAAAATGGTTAAATTAGATAACAAAATTAGTAAATTGAGCAAGATCAGTACTATATATATAATTAAAATTTCTATTTTATTGATATAAAGTAAATTTAATGTATGTGATATTTTTTTTTTTATAGAAAGTTTCCTATTGGTCTTCTTGGCTTTGTATTATCTTTACTCCATATTTGAGTTATTGTATGTTAACATTTATTAAATAAATTTGAAGTTTTTTTTTTTGGGTTATAAAATATTTTTTTTTAAAATTGTTAAATAAATCTAGAGTCTAGATATAATTAATGGAATCACAAAAATATCTAATGCTTTTATTGATAAGGTGTTTTAATTTTAATATCTAAACTTTTCTTATTTGTTGACTGATTGGATGATTTTTTATTGAAAATTTGTTTCAGAATATTTTAATATATATTGTATCAAAATGAGTTTTTTTCTTTTACTTTTTTTAGCATTGGGTTATATGTTATCTTTTAATATAATTAAAATATTTGGCAATTTAATAAAACTATCAGACTAATATATTTAAGTTATTTGATGATATAGTTAAATTATTTTCTATTTATAAATATAGAGATTTTTACTCGGCTGTAAGGCAATGGCAAATTAGGAATTTCATGTACGCTAAGAAAAACTTTGAATCAGCATATAAATGCCTGTATTTGGATCTAATTTTGATTAGCATGAATTTTAAAATTATTAAATTTATATTAATATGAAATTAAAATATATATTATATCATCATTCAAATTATTTTATAGATATTTAAATTAATTACAACGGCCTTAAAATCTTTAGTCAGTTTAGTGCGAATTTTTCAAATTATTGAACTAATATTAAGATGAATAAAATATATTATTAATGAATTATTAGGTAATTGTAAGCTTAAGTCGTTCCATCTACCTTAATATTTAAATTAAAAATTTTATTATTATCTCATCAGTGTAGTCATCATTGAATTTAATGCAAATTTTTAATTTGTTTGAGGAGATTAATGTAATTATTGTTAATTGTTGAAAGCTTTTTCACTATATGATAACATTATTGATTCCCACCTGTACTAGCCCAGCCGGTGCCTTTGTTGGTGGTCCAAAGAGAAGTAGTTGGCCACTTGCCCTTTAAAATTTTATTATTGAATCATTTAATTATGAATGATTAGAGAGTAATGCCTTACTTTTTAATAAATTTACATTTAAAATATATATTATTTTAATTATGAAATTAAGTATTATGATAGAAAAATAAATAAAAAACAAATCTATTATTAAAATAAATATATTTATGATGTAACATTATTTTTATAATCTTTTTTTAAAACATTTAGGTCAATTAAAATAAACTCAAACACACATCACATATGTAAACTACGAGCTCAAGACCTCTTTTTTAGTAGTCATAGTAGTTACCCTATAGAAGCTACGTTTCTCTTTTATTGCTTCTCTTAGGCGGGTCAAAATCAGATTTGGGACGAACTTGTAACTAATCCGATGCTATTTGACATTATCCGAATCCAACCCGTTTTTCAAAACAAGTCATAAAGTCAACCCAGACTCAACCCATCAAGTTTCCGGGTTGACCCAACCCGACACAAAAGTGGTTATGGCCGAAGAAGCGCAAATGGGAGGAAGATGACTTGTCCGTCATCTCGTCGAAACTGCAATACAAGAACTAAGAATGAGCATTGTCGAAGCTGGAGAAGAGGAAAAGCAAATCTTATGAAGTCGGCAGAGGAAGGAATGAACATAGTCGAAGTGTGGACTGCGTATCTAGCGGCTTAGCGCCTAGACTAGGTTTAGGACTTCAAACCGAGCACTAACGACGAAATGGCGGGGCAACAAGACGGTGAAGAGTCTAGCGGCGAGGTCGTCTGGCCTCGCGAGTGCCGGTGACAATCAGGATTTCAGATTTCGTGTACAGCAAGAGTTCTCGGGTTGAATCTGGGTAATTCTCGAATTTTTGGGTCAAGCCGCCCCAATTGATGAAGCTGATCAATTTATTGAACCCAAAGCCGACCCGTTTAACAAAAGGGTGATCCTAACTTGAATTTTCATGTCTGATTCAAGTCGAATTTTCAGATCAGTGTCAAATATTGACACTCCTAACTTCTCTCATTGGGAACAGCTACAAAATGATGTAGTTTGAAAGGAATAATGAAAAATAACTTTAGAGAGAGAGAGAGAGAGAGAATGCACAAAGGAATCAAAATTCTCCACTTTTTCATCATTAAAAACTCATCACATGCTTACAAGTCCACCAGACTCATTTAAGTGAAGCCTTACTTCCCAAGCTACCCATTCACTTTCCATTCAATGCTTCCTTCCACTTTTCTACTAACAAGTTTTCTTCAACTGCAATTAACATAATTACTTTTAAGCCACTTCTTCTATAAAAATTCCAAAATTTTTTTTATAGAAAAATTAAGCCGCATATTATTTTTATTCCAAGTCCAAGCACATGATATTCATATTGTTCAAAAGAAAAGCTTTGCTGATTCCAGCTCATTTGGAAGAAAATTTAACTCTCCTCAAAATTTCAACACAATTAACTTTTCTCAAAATTGATCAGACAGATCAAACACCTACCCTCAGCTAGACTAATTTTTAGAGAGGAGTGCGTCAATAATGACAATCAGCAAAAAGAGCAGATTTAGTTAAAAAATTAAGGAGCAAATACATCGAATAATTCGACGCATTTTAAAATGCATGAAAGAGTTAAGCAGATTAGTAATGCACCATACAAATAGTCATATTCACTAGAGAGAGAAAATTAGAAGAGATAGAGAGAGAGTGCGCGGGCGGGAAGGATCTAGTTGGCCAATCAATTCGCTCAAAGTGGTGCTCAAGAAGTTTACCAATTGATGAGGCCTGCTACAATAAAAATTCTTAACTTTATACATATTTTAAAATCGTCTAAGCTTTTCTTTTCTTTTTTTTTTAATTCATTGCAAAGAAACTTCCAATAAGTTAATTATAGGGTTCTTATTTTTACAATGAGTTCATTAGAGAATGATAGTTGTCTTTTACGACGCCTTCATCTCCTCAATTACAATACTCATGAGTTGCGAAAAAGGAAGTGGAATCGTCTAATGTCGACGACGATTATATCTCCTAAAGGGAAACTATGACTTCGAGGCCAAGATTAGCTCGACAATAGGATGCATGATAACGAGGTTTCATTTCAAACTTGCTCAGTTTATTTCAAATCCGTTCAGTAATTTACGTGATTACGAAATACGTCAAAATATACTTATCGGAGGAGTTTAAGGCTTCGTTTTGAAGGACTTTTTTATTGCTTCTTAAAGCAACTTTTGTATAAAAAATTTAATTTTTTATACTAAAAAGTTGCGTTAAGAAGCAACAAAAAATAGTCTCAAAAGAAGCCTAAAATCCTTCAAAAGGTTTTACTTAAATTTGCTTTACTCTTAAATACTCAACCAATCATTCAAATATTTAAAGCTCACACATTCTAAAACAAAATACACCCAAAAAAAATAAAAAAAAATACTCACAATCAAACATCACCACTTTGGCAATATGATTTTACAATTATGGTTTGTTCTTCTTCTTTTCATATGGAAGAATACCTGACATGTGTAAGCATTTCCAAATGAAATTGGATATTTTATTTGCAAAATTGCCACTTCTTTAACCTAATTTAGTTCATGAGATTATTTTAAAATATGCTACGCACTATTGACATTGACATTGTCGTTAATCATACGAAATTAAGAAGAATCTAATTAGATTATAATTAAATCAGTTCTAGTTAGTAAAACTCTCTTATCAGCGAATAATTATTATTTTTTAGTGTAATATATTTTTTTTAAGACTTTAGAGTAAACTTTATCTCATGCAGCCTTAATCATATGCTTTAAAATTCGGAACTTTTTTATAATTTTTCATTAGTTGACCACCTCAATCTCAGACATTATATGATAATTCATTATTTAGCATTCTTTTGGGATATATTTCTTACTGTTTTGTACAGCAATTTTTTAGTGTAAAAATTTATAGTTCAAGAATTTTTTTACTAAAATTTTACTTAAAAAAAAAAAAAAAAGTTGTCCCAAAGAGAAGGTTGATTTATATATGTAAGCGATCTTTCTCTCTTTTTTAGACTCAAGAAAATTTAAAAGTTCGGATTGTAAAAATTCAGTATGATGGAGCATAATTTTCACATGATGCATGATTATAGGCTAAAGAAGCTCGAAAGATAGCAAATTTTGAAAAAAAAAATGTTTGAAGTCTAGAATATACTACATAATCTAAGATGCGCCAGTTTGGACTATGTTGTCTTTTAATCATTAGAATTGATGATTGTCAATAAAGAGGAATGAGTTGATAGCTAGGGGTGTAGTTAGTCAAGCTAGCTCGCAAGCTCTCTTAAACTTGACTTGTTAATGAGGTCATAAGCCAAGTTTGTTGAACCATTAGTTCAAGCACTAGATCATGTTATCAGTTGTACATTTAAGAGCTTGAGTTTGAGTTTAATGAGACTAAACTTGTTGGCTAGTCTTGGCACTCGATGATATCCATAATTTATGTCTAGGGTTCATCACGATCAGTAGCTCTTGCAATTTTTTCCTCTATTTTGTTTGGGGACTACCAAAATACCCATCCCCCCCATCTTGCCTTGGAGAAATTATTCTGTGTGTATTCCAAACGGCAAGAACCATTCGAACATGTGAGTGTACACACTTTGTATATACAATATGTACACTCACATATATATCCTAAAGGTTTCCCATCCGGACTCCACACAAAATAATTTCTTCTCGTCTTGAAGAACAACTAGATACTATCTGATGAAGCCATTGCATACTCGTAATTGTTTAGTTCATTCAAAATGTTAACTTTCTAATTTTTTTTTTTAATTAAGACAAGTCTTTACACTAAAAAGGATGAATATTTTGATTGACATCAAATTTAAAAGATAATTTTCTTTAATTTATTCTATAGTCAATCTGATTAGTTGTTAAACTCACTCAATATCTACTTTTATCAATCTCTTTCAACATTCTCCACTTCCCTAATTTACACCTTTCGGTTACCACCCAACCTAACTATTAAAAAAAAAACCTAATTTTAATGCAACAGCACTTAATTAAACTCAACTTTTTATCTAATTAATTAAAAATAATTAAGAACCTGATTGTAATTATTAACAAAAGAACAAGACAGAAACTGAAGAGCTGAATAAAGACACAAGTGAACATCAATATTATAATATTTATTGTATTTTTTTATTTTTTCTTACCTCAAATAAAATATTTTAATTGATTAATTTTAACTCCCATAAATAATAGTCTTCTTCCTCCTACCTTCTATCTTCCCCCCATTTCTTTTCTGTTTTCTCCCTCCTCTCCCCACAGCCTTACAGAGAGTCATTCTATATTTCCATGTGCTGAAACAGGAAACAGAGAGGGGGAGTGATGGTGGAGAAAGGAGGAGGCGGCCCGGCCCATCTTCTTCTCCTGGGCCTAATAGTCTTCTTTTTCATCGGCGGTGCCAAGGCCCATCGTCGGCTCTCCGGCGAGCCTCGCCGCAGCCATAGGCAGGTTCTCCTCCGTTCAGAGCGCCTCTTGGCCTCCATCTCCGCCGGCGCCGCCCCTTCCCCTATACTCACGGTATTCTTTTTCTCTGCCCACATTTCGCCTATGTATCCCGCGGGTAGGTGTACCGTGACTAATTCCGTTCACATTTACAAGAAAGGGATATTTCTATCAAAAATAATAATTGAAAAAAAAATTGATTTTTTTTTTCTGTGGCCTGTATCTAGAATTTTACAGTTCTATATCTGTGCAGAGCTCGTCGTCCTCCCGAGTGTACCATGTGACCGACTACGGTGCAGACCCGTCGGGCAAAACGGATTCAACGGCTGCGATATCTCGGGCCCTCTCTGCGGCCTTCACCCCGCCGTCCAACCGATCCCTTTTCGCCGGAATCGCCGACCTCGGCGGCGCAGAGATCAGTCTCGACGGGGGTTCCTACTTGATCAGCAGCCCCATCACTCTCCCCTCCTCTCCGACCGGCAATCTCAAGGTGCCCAATTTTGACCATATAATATATAACATTAAATTGTTCTACTGATACATATGACGTCAAACAAAACAAATTTTAAAGCTTTTCTTAGTTTTAAAAAATATTTGTAAAATTTTAAATTATGAATACTATAATTTCTGATGAATTTCTATGATTTCAATCAAATTTCAATTATTTCGGTCGAATTTATTGGGCTTTGAGTGTTGAACTGGATTCAATAGTTTAGTCCTAATTTCTGTAGCATCGATTGAATGTTGAAATTATTAGATGCCGATTGAAAGCGACATATTAGCTAATTTGGAACAGCTTTTAATTGAAATTAAGCTGCAACCATCCAAACCCTAATTCCAACCAAAATTAACAACTTCTGTGGATTCCCGCATTCATTAGCATCAGATATCTTCATTCCCCGTCATTTTATTTCGCAGAAAATTTTCAAAATAATAAATAATAAAATGATTAAATATTAAAATGACAGTGAAAAATTATCGCTTACTAATTCAAATTTTCCCCATAGATCCACAGCGGCTCGCTGCTAGCGTCTGATGACTTTCCAACGGGCAGATACCTAATCGAGCTCTGGTCCTCCACAACGTCCGCCTCCCCCACCTCCACCTCGGCCTACAACTACGAATACATCACCCTGGCCGGTCTCATGCTCGATGCCAACTATCGCGCCGGAGGCATTGCCGTCGTGGACTCCCTCCGCACCCTCATTGACGGTTGCTACATCGTCCACTTCGCCACCGACGGCATATGGGTCCAAGACGGACACGAAACCTTCATTACCGACTCCTTCCTCGGCCAGCACATCACCGCCGGCAACGATCCCGGCGAGCGGAACTTCTCCGGAAATGCCATCCGACTCATCGGCAATGACAATGCTGTCACGGACGTTGTCATATTCTCCGCAGCAATCGGCATTCTCGTCGCCGGCCAGGCGAACATCCTCACCGGCGTTCACTGCTACAACAAGGCGACGGGGTTCGGCGGGACGGGGATCTATTTAAAATTGCCCGGGCTGACTCAAACCCGTATCGTGAACTGCTATTTGGATTACACAAGTATCGTGTCAGAGGACCCGGTTCAGCTTCTCGTGTCGGGTTCTTTCTTCTTGGGGGACGCTAATATCGTGTTGAAATCGGTTAACGGGGTGATGAGGGGAGTTGCTATTGTTGACAACATTTTTGCGGGTAATGGCAATGGGGTCGACATCGTGGGGTTGGATGAGACAGCTGGGGCGTTTAGGACCGTTGATCAGGTGGTGGTGGAGAGGAATAGTGTGGATGGGATGACGGTGAGATCGACGGCGGCGAGGGCGGCGAAGGAGGGGAATGGGACGAGCTGGACCGTCGATTTCTCAGGTGTTTTGTTGATTCCGAACCGGATTGATCAGGTCCAATACTCGATCCAGACCGGGTCAGGTTATTTCAACCATGCTTTGAGGAACGTGTCAGGAAATCAGGTCGTAATCGAGTCTGACAAAGCGGTGCAGGCCACTGTGTTCGTGGAGGTGAGCCAATGTGAAGGCAGCATGGCTTGATTTTGCTTTTTTTTTTAATTATTTAATTTGCATTGTTTTAAGGGTCTGTTTGGGGCTGCTTTGATTTGCATACTTCAATCATAATTCTATTTTATTATTATTTTCTTATTATTTTATGTAATCATAATAGGGAAGTTGTTTTCTTCCCAACCGACTTTATAAGACATTATAGCAGTCCCAAACAGGATTAATTATTTTGTGCGGACGTCGAACGCGGTATGGAGACTATTCAAAATACGCCACTTTACCTCTTGCTTCGTACCGTGGCTCGATATTATTGACGTGACGTATTCTGGTTAGCCTCTAAACCGCGCTCTGCATCCAGTCTTAGCAACAGAATAATTTCTCATCAAATAGACCTAATAAATTGATTATTTTTAGCCATATGTGATTTTTTTTTGTAGTTGTTCACCTAAAATATAGGTATTTTTATTAGAAATCCAAAGAACCACATTGTCAAACGGGAAGACTTTATTATATTTGTTCCCCCTAATCCATCAAATAATTTAATACATATATGTTTGAACTAACCCTCAACACATTTGCATAGTAAGATCCCTTATTAAATTCTTTGTAATGATTAAAATCATGAAAATGCTTGATAAATTTTCAAAATAATTCATTTTAAATAAAAAATTATGCTATAACTTTTTTTTCTCAGGGATAAAAAAAATTATCATTTTAAAATAAGCTTTGAGAGAAAGTTATTCTTAAATGTGTAATCATATCAGCTCATATATAGATTTTACAAAATCAAATAGGTCAAAGATTTTATTAAAAAAGATCTCATGTATTTAACTGCTTGAAAAGACATTTAAGGCATAATAATTTTTTAATTTTTTTTAAGATCATAAAATCTAATAAAAAAATATAATTATTATTTATTATTTCAAGAAAAAAAATTCTTTTTGGTTGACTGTTTAGGTTAGGTCAACCATCATTTCATCATGTATGGTGGCCAACCTGCTGATGGGATGAAATGTTAAGCACAAGTGGTTTTGCTCTTTTAGAGATATTCAATCTTATTAAATTATTATTTTTATATATTTTATACACGGAAAACTCATTGGACAAAAAGGAATTTTGATTTACCAAAATTTTGTTTCAAGCAAGAATCTAAAATTTTAACAAATTATTTCATAATTTTTTTAGGCTTCATTTTGATTTACCAAAGATTTAACGCATTTTTAGGCCTCATTTGGGGTGAGGCGTCTTTCTTAATGCTTTCTGATGCAGCTTAATAGCACAAAAAATATTTATTTCAAAAAAAATTTGCATAAAAAACATCTTTAAAATACAATAAAAAAGTCATCTCAGACGAAAAATTAGAATTCGTTTGGTACGGCTTTTTAAATGCTTCTTAATGTAGCTTTTTTGTATAAAAATTTTAATTTATGTTTTTTACTAAAAAGCTATATTAAGAAGCAGTAAAAAAATAGTCTCAAACGAAGACTTAATCAGCTTGTTTAACTCAAGCTCAGCATGAGCAATTTACGAGATACGAACATAATCTTCGAATTATTTCTTAGATTTTTTTTTTTTTTTGGGACAAATTCATAGCTTGTTTGTATGAAAATAAAAAGCTCCCCATGAAATTGTGATAAAAGTGCTCAAAATTCCTCCAAGAAAAAAATCAATCAAATTAGCCTTAAGCTTCTAATCCTCAACTAAGATTACTAATTTTCCTTTTATCAATCTCTAAAAAATTTTTAGATAATGACCTCAAATGATCAGCTCTAATATGAGAGACTCTGTTGATGGTGGTTTGGTCTCTCTTCTCAACAGAAATGTACATAAACTCTAAATTAAGGGAGTCAATTATCAACTAATCGTTAGTTAGCAAAAGAATTAGTCAAAAGTAACCTTCTTAATTAAAAATTTCTTTTCCTCCCTTCTCTCTACTTTTACCTAAAAATTTGGTGAGCAAACATAAAAGAGAAAAAAATTACAAAAAAAAACTGCGTCATAAATCGGGTCAAATTTTACTAAGCATGACAACAATATCAACTTTTACCAAGTCTCTTTTACTGAGTCTAAACCTAACCATTACCCACCGTTACTTAGCTTGATTGGTCAGCAAGTACGATTGAAAACCTCCCAACCCGTGTTAGAATCCTCTTGAACAACAACGCTTTTAAAATAAGATCCAATCAAGTACAAGCCAAAAGGCTTCTAGGGTGGATGTCTATTCTAGGTCAATCTAAGATTAGTCATGCCACCAAACACCCTTTCAGAAATGACAACGGATGAATACCCCATTCCAAAGAAAAAACCTAACTTTAACTTTTACTAAATCTCGAATTTGATTTGATTTAAGTTATTTTATCTAAAGACTTCATTTGGAACAACTTTCTTAATGCTTCTTGAAATAGCTTTTTAATACAAATTTTGTTAATTTTTTACTAAAAAACTATTTAAAAAAGCAGCAATAAAATCATCCCAAACGAAGCCTAAATCTGACCCTTGAATATTATGAGTTATAATATTTGATTCAAATTTGACTCGTCTGAGGAAATTTCTGATTTCGATTTTTTTCTCAAGAACTTAGCCCATTAATACATTTGATCACAGCAAAAGTTCATACCTCAAAATGCGTGCAAATCATATACAATGCACAAAAAACTCAAGTTCGTTTCAATATTTTGTATAAGCAAAGAATGCTTCATCATATGTCAATTCCAAACAGAGACTCACACAAGCTTCCTTGCAGAGTACATACAACTTTACAACTCTCAGGCGAGTTCAATATTATAATTACATGAAGAAAATCTCTCAAAAGGGTCAGTTTTTCACTTTTTCTTACCCTTTCACCGCAAAAAAAAAAAAAAAAAAAAAAAAAAAAAAAAAAAAAACCGAGAGACTTCACATTAAAAAAAGATCATCAAAACTTACTAAAATTTACATGTAACCATGTTTAATATAAAGCTAATCCGAGTCATACAGCAACAGGCTGAAGTCTCTGGACTTTGCTATCAATCTCTCCTGGATTCGCTCTTTGATGGCAGTTCCCTGGTAAGAAAGGTAAATCAGCACAGGAATGAGGGGTAAAAAGGTAATTTTATAAATATATATATTTTAGATGTTATACATATAATTTCCTCAAATTTTTTTTAATATCTGAGGGTCGAGAAAACTCACCATAGAATGGCAGCCTTCCTCGAACTTCTCCAGAAATCCAGCAACCCAGCGATCTGCATTCTCCACCCATTCGACATGCAGTATGGCTGCAGTTTTTGCAACCGTGTACAGCTGCAAAACCATTTTCATGTGAGTTTGAGCAAAAAATAAGAAAATAGAATAATTAAAATCTGTCTTTTCCTTTGCGTATTTCACTATTTCTTAATAAAATATATGAGGGATATAGATCACAAACTAAGTCAATTAGGCTTCGTTTGGGACGGTTTTCTTACTGCTTCTTAAAATAGTTTTCTAATACAAAATTTAAATTTTTATAAAAAAATTACTTTAAGAAGCAGTAAGAAAGTCATCTCAAACGAAACCTTGGTTTTATTTTAAATGATATCCAAACTGCTTATTGTGATCTATAATATGAAAGATTTCTGATAATTATGATGTAGTTATTTATCAAGGATATAAGAAATAAAAGAATGATCAGCTAATGAATAAAAGCCCCTTTAAAATTTAAGGTTTACATACTTCATCAATCAAAATGTCTAGGAATGTATAAAACACTGAGGAGTCCAAAACAGATGCCATCTACAGAAAAAAAACCTAAACTTGAATCGGTGGAACATTATGATGCCTCTGTCTCTCAAAAGAACCCCAACAACTTTTTATAACATTTCTCGTCCGTTATTGAAAGCTTACACAATCAAATTGTCAAGTTGGCTACGAATCGAGTAAGCATCAAAAAATTCATTTTTTGTGCATGGTATAAACAAAAAGATGGCACCAAAGAATAGGAGAACATTTTGTCCTAAATTCACTTAAAAAGACAAGAAATAAAGAAAACCAAAAAACAATAGCTGCAAATAAATACTCTCTTAATCTGGCCGATCAAGTGGCCAGATTAAGATTAACATTACAAGTGTTGGTGAGATCCCACTCGCATTCTTCCTTCTACTTCCATACATCCACCAACAAATGCTCATTAGGTATATGTTGGCAACATGAAAGATTGTGATGAGAATGAGGAAGAGGATGTAATAATAATAAATGTAGACGAACTAGAAAACTAGTCGCTAACGTTGAGATTCCTAGTTATGATGAGGTGTTTATGTAGCAAACTTTGATGCATGGATTGACCATATAGCTAGGACAGTACCATTGCAATGGCAATATAATGGAAAAAAAAAAAAAACAAGACAAAAGGAGAAGTCCCAAGAACCATTAGAAGGGTAAAGATTGCTTCCTTAAAATAAAGAGAAGAGAAAAAGTTCACACAATGTTACTAAGCCTACAACAGCGGGGAAGAAAAAAAGCCACTAGAAAGCTCTATGGCCATTAATCATATGTAGCAACACCAAGGAAAAATGTTGGAAACTGCAATGGTAACTATGAGGAACAATATCAAGCTGAATCGAAGGTGTACATGTCTCAATCACTTCTGATTTGCTCACCCAATCCCACCCACATCACCCAAACCCAACGGCAAGCATAGCCACCCCCTCCCTTGTGTTTCCCCTCTTTGCTTGTGATGAAACTTGCCATTCGAGACATTCTAGATTAGGAAATTCCTTTAATTCAAATCCAATTTAATTTGAATTTGAATTGTTTCCTAATTCATGAATTCTATTTTGGAAAGTTTCCTAATTGAAACCTATTTGAATTTAAAATTCAAATTTGATTTAAAAGACCCTTTCCAAATATTCAAATCCAAATCAAACAACATTAATTGCTCTTCATAAACCCATCCCTCTCTCATTAATGCCGCCGGGTTAGGAAATATTTCCTAAATCTCATCCTTGCTTTAGGCAATACTTCCAAATCTCCCTAACTTCTCTCTTGGCCGAAATCCCCTCTTCCCCTCCACTTAATTTCTTCCCAAAAGAAGATTTCTCTTTTGGAAACAAATTAAATCCCCACCTCCCCTATTAAGCCGCCGGCCCCTCTCTCTTACCCGCCCCCTCTCTCTCTCCAATCCATCTCTCCATCATTAACTCTCTCCCGGAATTTAGGATTTGATAATTTCTATCCTAAATCCCTCTCCCCTCTTTACAGAATCTGAAACTTATTTCAGATTTTCGTGCTTGGCTCTTCCCTCCTTCAAGTGATAAGAGAACTTCTTTCTCTCCAACAATATTCAAGTGCATCATCAAGTTGTGAGGAGTTTTGCTACCGAGTATTTATGAATGGCGGATCTGGAGGCTAAATACAGCCTCACCTACGACGAAGACGGTTTCGTAGACATTCTCCAATCCACGTTCTTTGACATTAATACAAGGGTCGATCACACCGTCGAGGATTACATCGAGCGCATTCTGGATACTTTGGTGGAAGCAATCGAAGAGCAGTTTGAAGAAGCTGAGTGGAGGATCTCCACCGCTCCGTGACAAAAGTTTCTACTTTCACCTTTCAACATATTTCCTGAATCTAACCTTACCTTGTATTTGATTATAGTCACGATGGATGATTCTCCCTGCTCCTGCTAAGCTTAGTAAACGTAGGGTTTTGAGTGTATTCATGTGCTTACTAATTTCACTGTTAGACTAGGGATTTTATTTGAAACTACTATTTTGGCATAATGTTTTTTCTATTTCATTTTGAAAGTTTCGAATCTCTAGTTATGTGATTTAGCCTAAGTAGGCGTGACCCCTTATTCGTTTTATTTCGTTGTTTAAGCTGCTACTAGTTTTCTTCATTTTTATTCTAATCAAAAGTTGTGCAAATTCCTAACAAAACATTGCATCCTTGCATAGTCCTACATCACTTAATTTCTTTAAGCATCTTTTCTCAAAAAAAACCCTTAATCTAAAATCCCCAAACCTCAGCTTTTACTCCTAATCCCGAAATCCTTATCTTTCTTATGTTAATCTTATTCAAAGTCGTACTTTGGCTTTCGTTTTTTTTAAATGATTGGCCAATAGTGCCTTTCGGACTCGATCTACTATAGCTGATTATAGATTGTGTTAATTATTTCATTTACCCCATTATATATTAGCTGTTCGAATAGGGATTCTCGATCATTTAACAAAAGCCCTTCCATCAGGTTATTGATATTGTCATCAATGAATATTTTATTCACATAACTGTTTTGAAATATTGATCAAGTTCTGAGCCCTACCGAGTCTCCCTTTTCTTAATGCAAGGAATGAATTGTCTGCTAATTGTTTTGTTTTCCCATTATCTTTTAGCTGTTCGGTTATGGTCAATTTAAGAAGTGAATTTTTAGTTTATTAAAAAATATAAAAGTTTCTTTGGTATTATAATCTTCTGCTTACTGGAATGCTTATTTTGAGTGTTATTTAGAAGCTCATTCAAATAATATTTTATTTTATGAGCTCAACAAGATACTCGTTTATTAGATTGTTAAGGCTCGACAGATTTGCTTGTTTATAGGCTCGACAGATTTGCTCATTTGTGTTTGACAACGACCTTGTTACAAGAAAACTAAATTTGTACTAATTATCAAGTCAAATGCAAACGAACATGAACAATGAGCATTCTTGACAGCTCAAACTATGGAGTTAATTCACTAATTAGGTTCCTTCTATTATCGAATCAATTAATGATAAATAAGGCTATTTTTAATTAATTCATGCTATAATAATTGCCTATAAAAAAGCAACTGACCCAGTAATGAAAACACATTAAATTCCTCCCAAAATTTTCCTCTGTTCCTCTCCAGAAACCTAAACTTGAGGTACTTTTAATTTGATTGATTGATCTCAAAAGAATTTCTATACTTTTTCAGCTGAAAGCTAATTGTTCTAGCCTATTATAGTAGACTTATGCAATAACATTAAGAGAATGGCTACATATCAATTCAATACATATAGATATCATCATGCATATATGCACTTGATTCCAAGCCATCTAAAAGTCTCTACATTTTGAAATCACAATTATCTTATAATGCAATCAAAGCCATTAAATGTAATATTTTTATGCATTAAATTGATGATCAAATGACTATAAAATTCTTAAAATTATGCATTCTTAAAATCATGCATATCATATTAGTTTTAATGACTTTAAAGAGTATGATTTTGATTTTACATTTGAAGATGATTACATTAAATTGTAATAGGGAGGTGACTAATGATTATCATCCGGAAGAGAAGTGCAACTCTTATTTGAAAGTAATTTTAAGGAAGTTCGTGGATGATATGCGCTTTCTTTTGCGAAATTTAGGGTATGGCTCATTCCAACCAACAAATTTCTTCTGAAAACATAATCATCACAAGCTGTCACATTTCATAAAATTCAGAAATCAAATGGCATATAAGATAGAAAAGAAAAGCACATAAGCATTAAGGAAACTCTTTAGTTTTCCATATTAGAGGGGCTACATGCTTTCCTTCTTCATATAGATGGTTTCCGTTTGAATCTATTGACGGAATCCTTCCAAAACCAAATCATACTAGATGCCGCTTATGACAAAATAATAAAACAAAGTAATACAAAAAAATATATTAAGGTTTTCACAGCAGTATAAAATTTAGATGTGCAAAAACAGCAACAAGAACTATGAATTTAGGTTTCAGCTGAACGCATCTCAAATGAGCGAGCAAGCTTCTTTCAAAGTTTAAACCTATAACGTGCTAATCCATTAACAATAAGAGAGGAGAGAAGGCTGGTTCAGGATGCCCCTCCAACATTCAGTTATTCCTCATTGAAACGTTGGAACTTTTATTTGGTCCGGTGAACGTACGCTTCTCTACGTTCGGCCACCAATATTTTAGCGACACGTAGCATGAAGAAAAGTCGCCGACCCGACCTGCTGTTTTTTGGGTTCTAGCGCTTGACGAGCCGAACAACATCCCATCACCTTTTGGATATATTTCAAATACCTAGCAAATACCGAGTTGTACCTAGTTTTTTCTAGCAATACCGAGCAAATACCTAGCAATACCGAGCAAATCCCTAGCAATACCGAGCAAATCCTGAGCAAATATTGAGTTGTACCGAGTTGTACCTAGTTTTTTCTAGCAATACCGAGCAAATACCTAGCAATACCGAGCAAATCCTTAGCAATACCGAGCAAATCCTGAGCAAATACTGAGTTATACCGAGTTGTACCTAGTTTTTTCTAGCAATACCGAGCAAATCCCTAGCAATACCGAGCA